CTTTGTTGTAATATCAATTCATAAGTATCAAAGACTATCTACTATTTTTAATTTATACTTTTCTTTTAATATATCCAGTCCTTCACTATTATGATTATATAACATGTTATATAATCATGAGGTTGTTGTGAGGATAAAAATGGAGTGGAGGGTCTGGAGTTCTTTGCAACTAGAAAAATGGTGGAGCATCAGTGGAAGACAGTAACAGCACCTACAGTGTTTATATAAAGAAAGGAGCAAAATCAAAAGAGATGGGGATATTGGAAGCAGTGGTGATCGGTATATGATAGGAGCGGATCTTGCATGGAGAGAATGGGTGAGAGAATTCTGTGGTGGATCATGACATTAGTTGTGATGGAAAGAGAGGTTATTGGAGAGAGGAGGGAAACGGGGGCATGGACAACAGGGCATGTGGCCGGAGGGACTGAGGAGGCCGCGCTCGGCCACTGCCCGCTCTTTTGGCTCGGGCCTCTTGGCAGAGCGGCAGAGGCACCGGCTGGGGGAGAGGGCTGGGTGGCCAGGGGGCGGGCGCAGGCAAGGGGGGCGCTGGGAGGGGAGCAGGGCAGGGGCAGTGGGGAGGAGGGGGCAGGGCCAGAGGGGCCAGGAGGGAGCAGGGGGCGGGGCCAGTGGCCTGAGAGGCATATAGGGCCGTGCTCGGCCACTGCCCGCCCTTTTGGCTCGGGCCTCTTGGCGTCGTCCCTTGTCTGCGGCCCTTTGCTGCAGCCCGGGCTGTCCAGGCACTCCCTTCCCTGGGACACAGAGGTGTGTTTGTTTGTTTCTTTGTTTGTTTTTGTGCTGTGCTTTGCTTTGCTTTTCTTCCAATTTAAATTTAAGTTTATTTTATCCTTGTGTGTGTGTGCGAGTCGGTTTTTGTCTGGGAGAACTGGTTGGGTGAGAGGAGCTGCAGGACAGACAAGGCAGGGGACCAAGGTCAGGTCTCGGAAGGGATACCGATGGCAGGCCAGGAGACGGCCGGGCGAGAGTCGCGGTGTTGCTGCTGCTGCGGCAGCTGCGACATGTCCGCCCTTCTCCCCCAGGAGAGGCAGGGAGACACTCGCCCTCAGTGCACGCGGGTGGCCCTCCTGGAGGAGGAGGTGAGGTGTCCCAGGCCAGGAGAGCCCTCCAGGCTCCCCCAGAGCAGCCCCCTCAGGACAGAGGGTCGAGGGGGCACAGGAGGAGCAGCCGGGGGGACACGGAGGCACGTCACCCGCAGGAGGGGCAGCCCAGCACGGCCTCCTCCTTCCCTGGCGCCGATCTGGAGCTGGGAGCAGGTTCTCTCCGCTTGGGGAGGCTGGGGCTGAGGAGGCCTGGGGGACCAGCAGGACCCCCAGCCTGGGACGTCAGGTGGCAAGGGGGCCGCTGCAGGAGAGGTGAGGGCCAGGGCACGGCCGCCCACCACCACCAGGAAGACACAGCGGTGGGTGCTTGTTGTTGGGGACTCCCTGCTGAGAGGCACTGAGGCCACCCCGACCTGGAGACAAGGGAGGTCTGCTGCCTGCCGGGCGCACGCATCCGGCATGTGAAGGATAGAGTGGAGCACCTTGTTCGCTCCGGGGTCACCAGCCGCTCCAGGTGACCCATGTGGGCACAAACGATGTGGCCAGGCAGCGTGTGGTTGGGACCACCAGGGACTTTGAGGCCTTCGGGAAGAAACTCAGGGAGCTAAAGGCCCAAGTGGCCACCTCGTCAATCTTACTGGTCCGGGGATTTGGGCCAGGCAGGGACAGGAGGGTCGCCGAGGTGAACGACTGGCTTAGGGTGCGGTGCCAGAAGGAACGCTTCGGGTTCCTCGACCACGGCACCCGGTTTCTTGCCAATGGACTGCTGGCAAGGGATGGGTTGCACCTCACGAGGATGGGGAAAAGGTCCTTTGGAGATGCTCTAGCGAGCTTTAAAGTCCAGAAGACTTTAAACTGAGGTGCGGTAGGGTGGGTTCAGGCCCTCCAGTAACGTTTCTGCACTGGACAAGTGTGGGGAGAGGATCAGGGCTCTGGGAGCAGGGTCTCAGAGGTATTGCAGGGACTGACAGGACTCCTACAGAGAGGGGCCAGGTATTAGGGAGGATGGGAGGCAGGAGGAGGCTGGGGAGTCCAAGGAAAGGAAGCGGTGGGAAGGAGTTGGGGTGCATGTGCATCAATGCCAGGAGCAAGGGTAACCAGCAGGAAGAGCTGGAAGCTCCCCTAGGAATGGGAGGGTCTGACCTGGTAGGATGAAAGGCAAGTCTGGAATGTGAACATAGAGGGGTATCACCTTTTTAGAAAGGACAGGAAGGGAAAGAGAGGTGGGGGCGTAGCTTTATACGTCAGGGAAGGGATAGGATGCAGTGAGATAGGATGCAGCACAGATGGGGATTCGGCAGAGGCAGTCTGGGTGAATCTTAGGGGTTTTGACAGGAAAAGAGACCTGACAGTGGGGGTATGTTACTGCCCTTCAGGTCAACTTGAGACCCTGGATGATGTCCTGACAGGTCAGATTCTAAGGATATCTCGGGGGAGAGACACAGTAATTATGGGAGATTTCAATCTCCCGGATATTACTTGGAAGACTCACTCCAGACTAGGGAAAGTCTCCTGGGACAGGTTACTGGGAGACAAGCGAGTTGAGGAGGGGTGGATGGCACTCGAAAGGAGGTTTTGGAGGCGCAAGTCTTGACGATACCTCTAGTCAGTAAGGTGGGGAGGCAGAGGAGAGCGCCGCCATGGGTGCGAAAGGAGGCGGTTAGAGGGATTAGACGAAAGAGGAACCTCCGTAGGAAATGGGTACTGGGGGAAATAGACAAAAGGGTATAGTGGGAGGAGGAGGCCCGTTGCAGAAGCATTCTTTGCAAGGCTAAGGCTGATGACGAGCTGAGAATTGCCAAGAATATCAAGAGCAACAAAAAGGGCTTCTTTCAGCATGTAAATAGGAGGAGGAAGGGGAGACAAGTGGTGGGACCACTAAATAAGGAGAAAGGGGATCCAGTGTCTGATATGAGGGAACAGGCGCAGATGCTAAATGACTATTTTGCCTCTGTGTTCTCCCCAAGCAGGATGGGGAATATCCACATAGGAGATTAGATGAGGCCGGGGACTTAGGGGCACAGATTAGAGTCACCCCCTTGAAGTTGAGGGGCTGCTCAGGGCATTGGACATTACAAAGGCGCCAGGCCCTGATGGGTTACACCCGAGAGTACCTAGAGAGTTGGCATGGGTTCTTCCACGCCCGCTGGCCTTCATTTTTGAGACCTTGTGGAGAACGGGTGAAGTTCCAGAGGACTGGAGGGTGGCATCAGTGGTCCCAATTTTCAGAAAGGGTAGTAGAAGGGACATGGGGAATTATATACCTGTTCACCTTACGTCCATTGTAGGAAAAACCATGGAAAGGCTCATAATAGTGAGAGATCTGGTGATGCTAGATAGGGAAGGGAGGCTGGCGGCCAACCAGCACGGCTTCCACAAAAACAGGTCCTGCCAGACAAACCTTGTGGAATTGTATGACAAGGTTTCGAGGTGGCTGGATGGAGGGGATGCAGTGGATGTGGTTTACCTGGATTTCAGCAAGGCCTTTGACAAAGTGCCCCATGATATCCTGGTGGAGAAAAAGGAGTTTTGGGAAACACCAAAGCGCTGTCCAGTGGATTAGGGCATGGTTGACTGACAGGAAGCAGAAGGTAACCATTAGCAGGGAATCATCAGGATGGCGGCCAGTGACAAGCGGGGTCCCCCAGGGCTCTGTCCTGGGGCCGATCTGTTTAATCTTTTCATTAACGACATGGAAGAAGGGGTGAACAGCCTGCTGATCAAATTCGCAGACGACACTAAAACCGGGGCAGTGGCCACAACTGAGGAGCAGGTACTCCAGATCCAAAAGGCTCTGGACAGACTATGCAAGTGGGCAGGAGACAACAGGATGGAGTTCAATGTGGATAAGTGCGAGGTCTTGCACTTGGGGCATGGGAATGGGTGTCACAAGTACAGGTTAGGGGAAAACTGGCTGGAGAGCAGCACTTGTGAAAGGGACCTCGGGGTGCTGGTTGACTGCAGGCTGAACATGAGCCAGCCGTGTGATGCGGTGGCCAAGAGGGCGAGCGCCACCCTTGGTTGCATAGCCAGAAGTGTGGCTTCTAGATCAAGAGAGGTATTACTGCTACTCTACACGACTCTGGTGCGCCCGCAACTGGAGTACTGTGCTCAGTTTTGGGCCCCTCATTACAGGAAGGATATAGCCAGGTTGGAGTCAGTGCAGCGAAGGGCCACAAGGTTGGTGGCCGGTTTGCAGGGGATGCCGTATGAGGCGAGACTGAGGGAACTGGGTCTCTTCAGCCTGGAGAAGAGGAGACTCCAAGGGGATATGTTGGCGACATGCAGGTGTGTGAGGGGGTGTTACACGGAGGTGGATAGAGACCAGTTCTCCCCTGCAGAGGAAGGCAGGACGCGCTCCAACGGAGCAAAGCTCAGGGAACCAAGGTTCACTTTGGATGCCAGGAAGCACTTCCTGACAGTCAGGACCCTGAGGGTGTGGAATGGGCTTCCACGGGAGGTGGTTCAGGCCCCATCGGTGCGGGTGTTCAAGGATAGGCTGGACGTCCACATGTTGGGCATGTCGTGAGCAGAGCCGGATGGTGCTGGAGGTCAGACTAGATGGCCCAGGAGGCCCCTTCTGACTCGCTCTGTTTCTTTGTTTCTATGTGCTGAGTTCCAGGAGGGCTAGAAACAAGTGCTTTCCCCTCAGATGTTTAAGTTGCTCCACAGCCAAGAAAGCCGACTTCCACAGCCTGTTGCCTTCCACCTCTGTTCAGGAAAACTGTATTAGAGCATCTGTGTAGGTTCTTAAAACAAGCATATCCTAATTTGAGATTAAATCTTTCACATATTGGCAGAATCCCTATAACGTCAACGTCACAGTAGTTTAAGATGTGTTCACTGCCAGGACAGGAGACTTAGTCTGATGAAGCTTGATCGTCAGGGAATCTGGTAGATTAATAGGTGTCTCTCCCTGTTCTTTTTTTTAAAACACTGTAGCTGTGTCATGACCGAGGCTACCTGGTGACACAGGATGAGTTGGACCAGACGCTGGAGGAGTTCAAAGCCCAGTTTGGTGACAAGCCCAGCGAAGGGCGGCCTCGGCGAACCGACCTCACTGTCTTGGTGGCCCACAATGACGACCCTACTGATCAGATGTTTGTCTTCTTCCCAGGTGATTTCACGATTAAGAAAACAAAATAGATTTGGTTTTCTCCATTAGCCATTCGCTTTTCCTCTCTCTCTCTTTCCCCCCTCCTAATTCATTAAGGGGAGACAGACAGCCTCTAAAAACTTTTCCTTCTGCTGCCTTTTTGCTTTTGAAACCCAGAGCGGCCTCTTCCTCCTTGTCTCCAGCCCCCTTTTGCTGGCTGAATTCTACCACCCATGCTTCCTAAAAGAATGTCATTTCTGTTGAAAAGCTTATTCTTCGTTCACGTCCACCGAACAGTGAAATGCTGTCAGTCGAAACACTAGCTTTGTTTGTTCAGATGCCAGCTAGTCAGTGACTATCGCTGTAGAGATATTTTTTAAGAAACTGGCAATGTTGTCATCTATTAGCAAGTGGAGGAAAGTTACTTTTAGGCCAACTCTAGTTGGGGATAATCAAAGTGGCCCAGCAAAGATTTTTTGCATGCGTGAAGTAGACTAGGGGGCCTCTGAGTAGGAGAAGGCATCAAACAGCTCCTCTGCCTCAAATGATCGAAAATCATGTCTGGTCTCACTGCTAGCTTCTGAGGATGACTCGATGGCATATTGAGGACTAAGAAGTTGGGATTCTGTTCAATTAAAAAATGAGGCCTGGGATCCTTATTTGCCAGCGTGTGCCAGCTCCATCGTGCGGAACAGTTTCCTTGTGGTGACCCTCTGCTCTGTGTAATTCCTTTGCAGAGGAGCCAAAAGTTGGGATCAAAACCATCAAGATGTACTGTCAGCGGATGCAAGAAGAAAACATCACCCGGGCACTCATCGTGGTACAGCAAGGCATGACTCCCTCAGCCAAGCAGGTACGCAAGGCTTTGTGGAGGGCAGAGGCAGCCATTCAGCCCCGAAAGTGTTGGTGGTCAGCAGATACCGGCAGACGAAGGAATGTGTCCCACTGGTTACTTTTCCATTCGTAAGACAATTTGCCGTGCAAATTGGAAGGTGCCGCCTTCTCTAGCGAGAGGAGAACTCCTTCTCAGTTCCCAGCTTGCCTCAAGTGCCTCAAAAGCACATGGCATGATATGAGTCAGGTTGTCTCCTTCCTGAGAATCTTTTTTTTTTTTTTAAAGGGCAACAAGGTTCTAACCCTCATTGATGCTAAGATGCACCTAAAAATGCATACAGAATCAAAGCAGTGTGGTCAAGCATACAGGCCTAGGGTCGATGGTGCCACTCTTGCGCATGTGAATTTAAATGCATGGAGGCAGAATAGCAAGCTTTTGCTCTCTGGGTCCTCTCTCTGTGCCAGAAGCTCTCTTGAGTACTGCAGTGTCTTATGAAGCTTCTTTCTGTGATTTTCACCTTCGACTGAGTAAGCCCAGTGTGGACCCATGTTTTGCTCTCTGTCTCTCTCAGTCTCTGGTGGACATGGCACCCAAGTATATCCTGGAACAGTTCCTTCAACAAGAACTGCTGATCAACATCACTGAACATGAGGTGAGGGGACAAGGGAGGGACCTCCAAAGCCAAATCAAAAAGTTCTGGCTGGCTGGATTTACTATTTTTAATCTAACTGCCTGAAATCTTTCCCTCGGGAGGTATTGCATGCTACCTCGTGGGCTAGAGCTGTGGTATTGTTTTGGGATGGAGAACAGTGAGGAAACCAAGGGTGTAATCCTGAACATATTTACTAGGGAGTAAGGCCCACCGCACAAAATGGTGCTTGCTTACGAGTAAACAGACTGGGCAACAGATGCTTGGTTTTGGCTCTCGTTGCCAAAGATGTTAGGCACGGTTACTTCTGCGAGACTTAAGTGCCTGGAATTTTTCAGAAAAGAAGAGCTAGTGTTTCTCTATTAAATGAAAATAAAGGTCCATAAGGTTTGAGTTCTCATATTTGCAGTATGCAAAATACTAAAATATGTGGTTGTCTTATATTTATAAACCTGTCAGTGGGGTTAGATGAGTAGCATTGGTATTTTTTTTTTGGAATAAGTTTTATTTGAAATTATAATCCTAAAAAAAAAGACAAAAAGAAAACTACAAACAACATCCATCATCAAAAACATCGAGCCCGCTGGGTCAGCCCCCACACCCTTCTTTTTCCATTTATGATAATTTAGAAACATATTTAAATCTAAGCCAAGTCCTGTTTCTCTAGCCAATAATAAAAAGAGTCCCAAGTTTGATGGAAGTCAGTATCTTCTTTTTCCTTCAGTGATAAAGTCAATCTATCCATTTTTGCACAGTCCAGGATCTTTTTTAGAATCAGTTCATCGGTGGGCAGTTCCTCACTTTTCCAGTGTTGAACAAATGCATTCCTTGCCGCAGTGATTACATGTAAAATCAAATACATTTCTTGTTTCCTGTATAATGCCTAATAAAAAAACTTCAGGTTTAAAAGCTAAGGATTTTTGTAACATTTCCTTGATGAGTGGCATTGGTATTGATGCGACTCATTTGATACTGTCGGTGATCTATGCATTTTAAGCTATCTCACTGCTTTTTCTCAGCAAAATCCTTATTCCTTTAGTCAGGGGCCATGCATTTGCACCTTAACCTTAGATTTACTGTAGCATCAGGTTGTTGTGTGTTGCATCACCACCTACAAAAAACGTGCAGCTAAGCCATGGAAAAAAGACGTAAGTACAGAAAACAAAGATATTACTGCACCAAAAAGTACACCAAAAAGTACACTATCTCCCAGAATGTGAAACATAAGCCAGCCTGGAGAAAAACATACAAAACCTATTCTTATCCTGTCTTCTCAAATGCCTTTGAAAGGTTTTCTGTTGTTGTTCACCATACACAACCATTTATTTCCAAACCCTCTGTTTGCTCACATCCTCTTCTGTTTTTCCTTTCAGCTAGTTCCTGAACATGTTGTCATGACCAAAGAAGAAGTGACCGAATTGCTAGCCCGATAGTATCCTTTTTCTGAAAGTTGTTGCTGACTTTTCTGCTGGTTTGTGCCTGCTCTGGGCGGAGTGGCCGAGCCAGGGGCAACTTTTGTGTGTTCACATGCCTGTGAGCCTTAACTTCGGCACATAAAGAAATTCAGATACCAGAAGCAGGCTGTGTTGTCCATTCTTGAAGTATCTTAATGTTTGATGGAATATCATCGAGCATGTCATGAATCACAGTGCATTTTTCTGCATGCCTCAGTGAAGCTTAGTTCCAAGGTGTGTACATAAAGCAGGGAGTGCACATCCAGAGGCCAAATCCTGCCCTCTTGGGTTCAGCAGATGGTCCTACAAATCAAGTGTTGACCTATGGGTTTTAAAGCTAAAGTTCTCATTTAGCTGGGAACCTGCTCCCTTAAGACTTGAGTAAATTATCGGATTCTTAAATGTCTCAAGTGCTTTCTTGAGACAGCTTAAATATTTACAAGCCAAAGCATGCAACATTTAAAACAACCCAAAACAAAACATAGCCAGGATCCCAGAAAACATAGGCGACCACTTGAAGCAATTCATTTGATGCACTTAGCATGCATGCTTTGTAAAACTTTTGCAAAACACATGTTGAACTCCCAGTTGGCATGTGCCGAAAGTGCTACAGCAGCTTAGTTTATCTGAGCACGATATGGATCCTGCTGATGTCTCTGAATTTCCTTGAAGACTTCCCCTATCTCTTCCTGGATATAGCAGTGTATTTTTTCCCCTTTAACTGCTCTTTCCAGTAAGCTGAGAGAAAACCAGCTTCCCAGGATACAAGCAGGAGACCCTGTTGCTCGGTACTTTGGAATCAAGCGCGGCCAGGTAAGGTGTAGAGGTGGTATGCTCTGGAGAGGTCTGGGGTCAAGGGGGTTAGAGAGAGCCATGAAGGATAAGGCTATTGGGGTGTATAAAGCACAAGAGCTAAATAGAATCTCGGGATGTCAGATGCTGGAGAATGGATATTTCCCTCTTGACAGTTTGCCTGGGTCATCTGGCTAGCCCCTGTGGGAGCAGTACATTGGGGAAGAGGCACCTTTTCTCTCGCAGGACAAAGTTGGGAAGAGCCTCGGGCAACAAGCCCTTTTCTCTTGGCTTTAAATGAGCATTGGACCAACTTCTAGGCAAGGATAGTGACTGCAAAGCGGAACCTCCATCAACAGATGCAGTCTGCTGTTAATGTGCACTGTGGAAAGGCCACTGCTTGCTTGTGACCACCTTAGAAACACCTGTCTGGCCAGGTGCAGCTTGGTCTGGGCAAATGCTGGGCAGACTAGAAATACGTGTTTTTTCTCTGTAAGCCTTCCTGGTAACCTATATTGTGGAGCATTTTCCAGTAGTAACGAGGAACACGGCTTCTCTTCTCATACCAAACACCACTGCAGTAGTTCCCCTCCTCATGTCTCTAGAGCCCACACGCCATCTCCTGGATTTCCTCCTCCAGCTGATTATTGAGGATAAATATATAGTGTCTCTCTCTGTGGGGAACTTGATTATCCTCAAATCTGTTACAGGGGCAGAAAAGAATGTGATTCAGTCACATTCGTTACCTTACTTCTACCCAATCATTAAAGTTCTCCAGATGGTTCACAAAACCAAACTTGAATATGTATGTATGTATGTATGTATGTATGTATTTAAAACATTTGTATGCCGTCCAACACTATTGCATCTCAGGACGGCTTACATGATTAAAAGCAAAACAGTAAAACAATCGATAAAACAGAATAATACCATACAATTATCAAAGCCAGAACAAATAAATCCAATCAAAACCAAATATAACCAAAGCGACTGTAAAATGGTAAAAATACTAATTTTTAAAATAACAATTGAATAAAAAGGTTTTAATCTGGCGCCAAGAAGAGTATAGGCTCGGTGCCAGGGAAACCTCGCTGGGGAGTGTATTCCATAGTCTGGGTGCCACCAGAGAGAAGGCCCTGTTCCAAATAGATGACCTCTCCCCCTCCCCCCATTATTATTTTTTTAAATATAGAAAAAACCCTATAAATACAGACACATCACAATATCAATAATATAACATATAAAAGCCAACAACTAATAAAACAGTAAATAATTCAGTAATCCTACCACCCAGGAGACCACGAATACCTCCATTTTAATTCATATATTATAACAATAATATATAATCTATTATATAATCTATTATATCCATATCCCCTCCAAAAATTCATATAATCTTGATTAGGTTTACAACCGTTACCTTCTATCAGTATTGCTTTTATAAAATCTTCCCAAATTGCAGTATATTTATTCGCTTTTATTAACCCTTTTAAAATGTTTATTTCCGTTGTCAGTTTATCATTAATTACCATATTTCATTATACCATTCATACCTTTGCATAGCCCAGTTCTATAATTGATTTATTACTTTCTTAAACTTTACTCCAAGTCCCAACTTCTCTATTAAGATCTTCATTGTTGGCCATTCCACACAGTCAAAAGCTTTAAATATATCTAATGATAGTATACTTGCCTTTATATTTTGTTTCTCAATATAATAGTTAAAATTTAATACTCTCCTCACTACATCTGACATTTGTCGAGCTCTTATAATCCCACATTGATCATTCCTTATATATTTATCTATAAATTTATTCAATCTATTTACCAATATCGCAGTAAAAATCTTAGCATCTTGATTAATAAAAGATACTGGTCTATAACATGGTCCTCAAACTACTGCCTGCGGGCCAGATATGGCCTGCCATGCTCATTTATCTGGCTCGCCTCAGAGATTTTGGACTCGCTCGGAGAAAACAATCTCTGAGCGAGTCCAAAAGCTCTGAACCAGTGCAGGTGTACTCTGGGGAGATGGCTGCGCTCGCACTCGTGCAGGGAAGACAGGTGCAATCGCGGTCGTGCTTGGGGGGAGGGGGAGGCCACGATTGCACCCGCCTTCCCTGCATGAGCACGCCTGTGATCGCGCCCGTCTTCCCTTCACAATTGTACTCGGGGGGTGGGGTGGGGAGATGGCCACGATCACGGTTGTGCTCGTGCAGGGAAGATGGGCGCGATCGCGGTCGTTCTTGAGGGGGGGGGGCGGGAAATGGCCGTGATCGTGCTGGGGGGAGGGAAATGGCTGTGATCACACCTGTCTTCCCTGCACAAGCACAGTCAAGTCCATCTTCCCCGCCCAGCACTATCACGTCTGCCTCCCCCCGGCCCCTCCCCAGCATGATCGCGGACACTGTAGCTCTGTCCCTTGAATATGGACATGCTCTTCCCCACCTCATCTGGGGCTTCTGCTGCAGCCCAAAAAGACGGAGCAAACATTTTTAATTATTTAATTATTTGTTAAATTTTTAATTAATTTTCATTATTTTTTAATTTATTCTAGTTTATTTGTTTAAATTTTAATTATTTTAATGTGCAGTGTGCATAGGAATTCATTCGTATTTTTTTCAAACTATAGTCCAGCCCCACGACGGTCTGAGGGACCGTGAACTGGTGCCCTGTTTAAAAAGTTTGGGGACTCCCGGTCTATAAGATTCAGGGTTTGTAAGGTCTTTATTAGGTTTTATGATCAGTACTATCATGGATTGTATCCAAGAGCTTGGAATTGTTTCCCCTTCCATTATTTTATTAAACATCATTTTTATCTTGGGGACTAGTAATTTTTTGAAATGTTTGTAATATTCAACACCCAATCCATCAGATCCCGGTCTTTACCTATTCTTAATTTATTAATAACTTCCAATATCTCTTCTTCTATTTGAGTTTCTATAAGTTCTTTATCCTCTAATTTTACAATTTAGGTTCTTTTCTATATATATCTGACTTTCCTTCATATCTATTTCATTTCTCATATATAACTTTTCAAAAAGCTTTGTAAGATTAAAAGTTTCTTTTTCATTTTATTACATTTTCCCCCTTTTTTGTTCATTATTACTCCAATTAAGCTTTTTGCCTTTTTGACTTGTGTGACTCTGGCCAGCATTTTGAAATTTTTATTACTACTTTCATAAAATTCTCTTTTCAAATAAATTAGATTTCTTTGAACTTGTTCTATTTCGATATTTTGTGATTCTTCTCTTTTAGCTGTTAATTCTAACATAATTTTGTTTTCTCTGCTTTTTATATATTTTTCTCTAGTTCTTTAATTTCCTCTTCTAACCTTACTATATGTTGCTCTTTTTGTTTTTATATTGTATGAATATTTTATTTCTAACCCTCTCACCACTGCTTTCATTGTATTCCACATTACACTTACATTACTTTCTCCTTTTTCATTTATTTCCCATATTTCTTTTAGTTCTTTTTCCATTTTTTCTAAGATCTTCTCATTTTTTAAAATCTTTAGACCTATTCTCCACCTGTTTAGCTGTTTGTAATCACAGTCTATTTCCATTGTTATCATTGCATGGTATGATGTTTTAATTACTTTTATATTGACATTTATTATCTTAGACAATAGTTCTGGTGTTACAACTATATGGTCTATTCTTGTAAAAGTTTTATGTCTGTCTGAATAAAAGGTATAACTTTTCTGGTTCCCATTTAATTCTCTCCAAACATCTTTTAATCTGTTTTTATTAATAAATCTACTTAAATCTGTATTATTATATTTTATATCTTCCTTTGATGGATTTATCTTTTTCTTTATCCATAACCATATTATAATCACCCGCCATTATAACATCCTCTTCTTATTGCCTCTGTTTCTTTATACACCTTATAAAACTCCCTTTGATTTATATTAGGTGCATACATATTAACTAAAGTCACCTCTTGTCTAAAACCTTGTATTATAAGAGTAGATGTCCTTTTACCTCCTTCAGGGAGGGTTCCCGGAGCAGGGCCTCTCCCACCAATCTTAAGGGGTGTGATGGCATATACAGAAGGAGGCGTTCCTTCAGGTATCCTGGTCCCAAGCCATTCAGGGCTTTATAGGTCAAAACCAGCACCTTGAATTGGGCCTGGACTTCGACTGGGAGCCAGTGGAGCTGGTAGGGGACTGGTGTTATGTGAGTGTAACAGCCAGTCTCCGTCAGCAGCCTGGCCACTCTTTTCTGTACCAGCTGAAGTATCCAGACCGTTTTCAAGGGCAGCCCCACGTAGAGCCCGTTACAGTAATCCAGCCCGGAGGTTACCAGAGCGTGTGTCACGGTTGCTAGGCAGTCTTTGTGCAGGTAAGAATACAGCTGATGGACCAGCCGGAGCTGTAGGAAAGTGCTCCTCGCCTCCGCTGCCACCTGGATTTCCAGTGACAGCTCCAGGTCGAGGTGTACTCCCAAGCTGCGGACCCCGTCCTTTGGAGACAAGGCCAAAATCACTTACCTGAAACCACGATCCGCCCACCAACAGGACTTCCATCTTACTTGGATTGAGGCTCAGTTTATGGGCCCTCATCCAGCCCACCACCTCGGCCAGGCCCCGGTTCAGGGCAGCCACTGCCTCACCTGGAGTGGACGTAAACGAGAGGTAGAGCTGGGTGTCATCAGCATACGGGTGACTCCGCAGCCCACACCTCCTGCTGACCTCTCCCAGCAGTTTCATGTAGATGTTGAAGAGCAGGGGGAACAAAATAGAGCCCTGAAGAACCCCATGGCACAGCTGCTATGGCGCAGGGCTATAGTCCCCCATCTGGAATCGGCTGGCCAGGTAGGAGTGGGACCACCGCCATGCAGAGCCTCCTATTCCCAACCTGGCCAGCCTATCCAGGAGGATACCATGGTCGATGGTATCGAAAGCTGCTGAGAGGTCCAGGAGGACCAACAGGGACGCACTCCCCATCTCCCTGCACAGGTCATCGTACAGGGCGACCCAAGGCTGATTCAGTACCATACCCGGGTCTGGAGCTGGGCTGAAATGGGTCCAGATAATCCGTTTCAGATAACAGCAGTAAATACAATAGCAATTTAAAAAGGTGTCCATATTTTTCCCACCACCCAAGTAAAAACAAGCTGAATTGGGATAGGAATTTACCCAGAGGTCCCAGAAAATGAGTGCTGCCTTTGCTAAACAGGCGGAATGTTCTGCTATTGTTGGGTATACTGCATCTGAACATGGAGGTTCTGTTCTGATTCTGTGGCTTGTCTTGTGTGTGCTTTTTATGGGAAGGAGTAAAACCTTGCAAGCTGCTTTTGGTTCCATGTACAAAGAAGAAAAGCAGGGTATGAACAGAATGTAGTAATAATAGAAATGGGCTGGTGGATTCGTCTGAATTACCAATTTGTGCACAGCTGTTCCAGGGCCCCTTCTGAGTGGTTGCTTTTTGCACATCCCTTGCTTCCCCAGGTGGTGAAGATTATTCGGCCCAGTGAAACTGCTGGCAGGTATATCACCTACAGGCTTGTGCAGTAACCATGAGATATTAAGGTACTTCAGCATCCTCAATTCGTTACCTTAAGACCTCTGAAGTGGTGTGTGCTTTCTTTTCTCTTTTCCAGAAAGCAGCATTTCACGTATGCTCAGAAATGAGTGTGTTGCTTCTGCATGCTTATGTAACCTGTGACCCTTGGAAAGGAGGTGTTTGGCTGTTTCCGGGTTGCTCTGGGAATGGCTCGGCTCCTATTTTTGCGGATGGGAAGGCCCCCGAGCCCAGTGTCTCGCCTCTCATCTCACGGGGACACTGAGTGTCGGCGTAGCTGGCTTGCTCTTTTGGCTGGTCCTGAGTTGGAAAGTGGGGGAATCGGTCGAGCCGTTCTTTCTGTGGGTGGCAGGAACTGGACCTGAATTCCTTTCTCGGGTGGAACACATGTTGGGTGTCTGCTTTCCAAGAACGGCACAGCGAATGTGCAGTCAGGGATGTTTCAGCCCTTGAGTTGTCTGTTGCTGCTGTTTCATCACTCCTTTCCACAGTGATGAAGATGGTAGTACAAACTTGCAGATTCTGGAAGTCCACTTCTGTCCCTGTCACACCCACACAACTTGCACCTTGCATAGATTGTCTGGATGACTGGGAAGGCTGCTGGTTGTGAGAGAAAGAGCCAGGTTTCCAATTCAGCCTTCCCTGAGCCTGTTGCCTCCCCTTGGCTCTGCCCACCCCAGCCAGCATATGACGATTGGTGGGAATGGGTGTCGGCTACTGTCCGGCACATCTGGGGCATGCCCCGTTGAGGGGAGCTGTTCTGGTTTATCGGGATGGGTAGGAAATATGGCAGATTCTGCTGTGCACCTGGGTGAAGCTGGTTTTGCCCAGCTTCCCTTTTCTAGGGGCTGAATGCCCACAGCGGGGGCGGGTGGGGAGAGCAAAAGGAGTGGTGCCCAGAAGACTGCCGTATCCTATCTTGGACTGATCGCTGGACAGGTTGGGCACTAAGAAAGGCATTTATTTCAGTGCCTATCAATGGAGGGGAAGGTGTAAAAGTTGGGAAGCCAGCCAATGGTCTGGGGAAGTTGGGGGGGGGTGCTTCTAGGGATCCCTTTCATCAGCTGCGTTGGGATCCCAGATGGGTCAGATCTGGCTGCCTGGTTTAAAACCCCTGTATAAGAGTTACCTGGATTCTGCTTAGCTCATTCATGGTGGTTCATGAAGCTTGACTTGCAGGCAAACTATGAAACATCACTACTTCTCTAAGTTGCCTTGCAGCTTGGGTGTGTGTGTGTGTGTGTGTGTGTGTGTGTGTGTGTGTGTGGCGGGGGGGGGTGTCCTTAAAAATTATGAGAGGAATACTACAATTTTGCTTTCTCTCTCCGTCTCCCTCTCCCTCACTCCAGGAAAGTCACATTGGAGGAATGTTCCTGGGTCTGTGTGCTTGACACTCTGCAATCTTCTAGATATCTTGATCAAAGCAAAGCAGTGGCTAAAGGGAGCCTGTTGTTTTCCCAAGCCAAGTTGCTTCAGATCCATACGCTTAGGTAGCTGGACTGGTTGGAAGCAGCAATGGACTGAGAGTTTCTGGAACTTAGCCTGATTGTGACGGGTGCGCAACAGAACAAGCAAGACCCTTTTTTTCTCTGATTCTGGAGATGGCTGTTTGGAGAGGCCTTGAAGAGTGCCACTCTCTGTGTGGACTTCAGAGAAAGCTGTAAGAGCTAGTTGTTCTAGATGCCCCGAGACTGTCCTTGTAGCCTGCCGTGTCACACTGATCCTTGCCAGGCTGTTGCTGAAAATTCCTGCCTTACCTGGAGCTCTCAGAAAAGCAGCTTTCAATGTCTTAACCTTGTTTTTTAAAGAATAAAGCGTTTTTAAATGCAGTCGTGTTTCTCTTTCCTCCCTGGTTGGTACAGAACATCTGCCTCTTCAGATAGGGGTAGTCTGCAGTCTCTCTCACCTCTGACCATGTCTCACTGCTGGGTGGGAGTTAATGTCCTGCATCCCTGGAGGGCATGAGGTCCGGGAGGCGGGTGAAAAGGACACCCACCCTTTTCCGAATAGAAAGGTATTTGCGAGAATTGGCTCTTCTGATCTCCGTGTCATAAGGAAAATGGGCCAAGCTTATTCTGGACATGAGTGTTTCAAGATCACCTTGGCTAGCGCTGAGAGCAGAGAGAGATCTTGAAGCCGAGGTGGACGAGGGGATGACAATATCAGCGCTGTGTCCGTGTCTTGTGTGTGGAGCTACGGAAGAAGCCCCCCCCCCCATTTGTGGCGTGTGTCCATCTTTGCTCAGATCTAGCTGCTGCATCAAGAAAGGTCAACCTGGTGGTGGAATGTGGATTTCAGCATCTACTCTGACCCCCAGAGCAACCCACCTTCCCTCCTTTGTACTGTGTCCTCCCCCCCCCCCCCCCCGGCCGCCAATTGAACAGGCCAAGAGATGCTAAAGTGGAACTGGGGCCTCATTTCTTCAAGTCCAAGAAGCAGCCAGTCACTGAGAAAGGACTGAAATAGAAGCGGGGGCACGGTTGTGGGTGTTTCCAGCTGTTCCAACAAGGAAGAGCAACCCGAAGCCCTCCAGACTAGCATTCCCAGCTGTATGAACCGCGGCGGCTTTGGGAGACTTCAGTCCCAAGTGCCTGGGAGCTTTGGAATGGCCATCCTCGCAGTGCATGAGCTTTGAAGCTTCATGTGAACTAATTCTGAACGCTCTACATCATTCTCAGTGTTTGGGGGGTGTGTGTGAGGAAGGGAGGCTTCGTGCATTCTACTTGTGATGAATTTATTTCATTTTTATAGTGATCCTTTAAAAATCCACCGCAGTACAGAGTCATGGACAGCCATTCAAAAGAAAAAAGCAGTATACCATGCTATTATGTTAGATAGATAGATAGATAGATAGATAGATAGATAGATAGATAGATAGATAGATATAGGGGAGGGGGGAGGGAGAGTTACAGTGCAGGACAAAGATACTCACTTCAACACTTAATTTGCCCATCTACCTTTTACCAAAATAAAATAAAGACAAAGGTACCGTTCTAGCCTTCTCCCGAAGGCATGGATTCTTGGACGGAGCTCCTTTCTTAAGGAGAAATATTCATCCAAAGTAGCCAAAAGGAAATGAGAACCCTGTTACAATCTTGAAAGACCCTTTGCAATTCTGTTAAGTCCTTGTTGCAAACAAAGAAAAAAAACCCCTGACGGTAAAAAATGTTCTTCGTGCACATCGGCCTGATTGAATCTTTTGCCAGAACTGTTCCGGTGACTCTTAGAAGCCCTATTGGGATGTGAAGTGCAATTTGTTCAGCATTTGGACAGCTCTCTTAGTGAAAGCCATATAAAATAGATGCCTTCAACGCCTCCTCCCTGTATTTCTAGCTCTAAGTGTACATTTTCCTGAGGAACAGAAAAAGTGGAGCTGTACAATCGAAAAACACATCCTTCCTTGACAGGTGTGAGGGAAAGGGGCTTATTTTACAGTACATATCCACAAAATTATAGAGGAGCACAATTAGGGAAAGATCAATTCATGTCCCCTCTAATTCAGCAAAGTCCCCATCACCAACCACCCATTTGTACCTTGGTTTTATAACAGCTCGTCCTAAATGGGTTGGATGTTTAAAAATAAAAGTAATGAAAACTTGTTTTCTTCACATAAAGAACTCAGAGTTCTTTGGGGTTTTTTCAGGTTTCTGTTTCTATAAAGTTTTGGAAAAGAGACCTGAAGTCATGGCACTTCGTTTGCCTCCAGGGCTTTTATTGCATGCCGCAAAAAGACCCTTTCTCTGTGGCTCTGAGCAGGAGCATCACATGCTCCATCTGCTTTTGCCCCACTGCATCATTTTGGTCTGCTCCCTTCTCATGCGGAGAATTTAAAGACAGGCCCAAAGGTAACCTGTTCTCCTTTAGACCAGAGGAAGAGAAGGACAGAATTGAAATGGTCTTTGTGCACAACTCCTTCGTTGCTTGTCCTTTCAGTTCCTTTTTGCATCATCTCGTTTTGAAGGCCGAGAGAACTTACTGCTTGAAAATTTTGTAGCCGATCGGCAGGTGCGCGGGGCGCGTGTTGTTGGACTGGTTGGCATTGCGGTCTGCTAGTGACCTGTCCACCGGCTCGGCACGGTTGTCCTCGTCGCCCTCCCTCCGGAAGACGCCGTCCTCTTCCGCATCACCGCCGCCTTCCGCCTGAGCTGGGCCCCGCAGCAGGGGCGAGACGTCCTCGGAGTCCGACTGGCCGGCGCTGCATGTTCGGCTCAGCATTCCCTCTTCGCTGGCCTCATCTGCGGAAGCGGTCTCCTCTTCTCCACTGGTCTCGCTGATTCGCAGTTCCAAGCTTGCCTGTGGGGTGCCTTCGCCACACACCTCCGTGCCTTCTTGGTCGGAATCGGAGTCAATAAAGCGGCTGCCAGAAGCTGTGCATGGGGAAAGATTGGGATATTCTCAAACGTGCAACATGGCGGGCCTTTGCCTCGCCGCACTGAGATCGAGGCCGTTGATACAGCTCTCCTGCAACCCCGACTTTCCCTTGCAACCTCCCTTGCCTGCAGCAGGCAGGTTTAGTGCGGTGAGTGTACAAGCATTACATCAGAATATCTAAGAAGGCCTTCCTTGACTGCCGCGCTTCTCACTGCTGGCCTTGCCACAAGAATTCAACATGCTCCTGGTCCCGGCATTCCAGCAACCAAGAGATTACCGCAGCACATCTGCAGCAGCTGTTCCAGTTTTACCTGGAACAAGCCCTGTTTGGGGGTGCAAGAGGGGCTGTTACCACTCCCTGGTCTATCCCTGTACTGACCCTCACAGTTACAGAGTTTTCAGATAGCAGGGTGCCTTGGTTATTCCACAGTATGCAAATTTAAATATAGAATCACAGACTCCCACATGCAGATAGCATAAGACAGGATAGGAAATTCTCCTCCCCAGTTCATGTCTTCTAAACAGAGACGTATTGAGCTACAACTGGTTGGACTAATGGGAGCTGCTACCCAAAACATCCTTGCCTTGCAAGGATGGGAAGACATTGTCAGTGAGGCACCTCGGGAAGGAAAAGTGTTTACCTGCTTCCACGTTAGCCCCTCCCACGTCTCACGGTGAAACATTTATCCACCCAAGACCATGTTTGTAAAATGTGATATCACCTCACCTCTGCAAGACTCGTCATGAAGAGCTGCCCGCTCCTGCTCGGCATTCATCATGAGACGGAGGACTCCCTGCGGCTCAGCACAAGCATCTTCCTGTATGAGGGACAGAAGAGCTTGGTGAGATTAAGTCTGCGCAGGAGGAAGCCCGTGGGCAGGAGGTCCCCCCTTCAAGTACAACCAGCCCCCACAGGCTCCTCCCCACCTGATTCTTGGCCAGGTGCTCCTCCTTAGCTTCTTCTTCTGAGCCCTCTGGAAATGTGCCACCGGTTTCAAAGATGGCTGAGTAGAAGATGATCAGAGCTTCGATGATGCGGGCTTGGTGGGGATAATCCACCAGCGAAGAGAGGGAGACGGTGGCCTTGGTGGGCCGGGGGCGCATGAGTGTCGGGCCAAACACGATGCCCAGGTTGCCTGAGGTCATTTTATTGTCCTGCTCCACTTCCACGATACTGCAGAGGAATTGGACGAAATGACAACACCACAACTGTGAGGGGTATGTTTCACTGCACTGGGTCCCATGGCTACACCTGTCCAGACTGTGGGTGTTCGCCACATGCCTGGCCTGCAGTTTGCAGGTCAAATTGGGGCCAGAGGGTGGTGGCGGACAAGCTCTTACCTCCGAAGGTGCCGCATGATGTACTTGAGCGTAGCCAAGTTCTCCGCCGGAAGCCCCTTCAGGAGCTCTCTCAGCTTGGTCACCAGCGTCACCACCACCTCCTCTGTCTCGGCGCCCTTGTCCACCAGCTCAGGCACGTTTTTCCCAGCCTTACTCTCTGGTCCGCTCTGCAGGCTCTCCTTGGCCAAGCCCATGAGGCTGTTGTACATACGGAAGGGCATGATGGGTTCCGGGAGCTGGAAGGACAACGCCAGAAAGAAATGAAACAGCCTCCAGAGCTGGAAAGGAAGCCCCATCTACTTCACAGGAAAGTATCTCAGCCGTTCGCAAGGTGGGAAAGGACATCCTTAAGAACATTGGCAGAGGTTGCTGGACCAGATGGGAGGGGCACTCAGCCCTTCCAGCAGGTGCCTCTGGGAAGTCTGGAAGCTGGAGCTGAAGCACCTTGTCAGCAGCAGGGTCGGTAGCTGAGCACCTTCCAGCCTATTTGGGCGGACCAGAAATACAGGTAGTCGCTTTGTTCCAGACAGGTGGTCCTCTGGACCTGCAGAGGCTTGGCCAGAGTTCGCGCTGCCTGGTTTTGCAGGGAAGGCAAAGGACAGATGAACAGCCCTTGCATTGTTTTTCCAGTGGGAAGAACGTATGGGGCAGCGGGAGCCAGTGCTGCTGAACCGAGGCCTTTTCCAATGGGAGAAAATCCACCCACAGCAAAGCGGAGGATCTTCTTGCTTTGCCCACCAGGGAGGAAATGAAGAGGGGAGCTTTGTTCCTGCTCTGTGGTGCCTGCACCCCCCCCATCTTGCCACCAGGGTGAAACGCCATTGATGGATCTCCCCCAGCTGCATGGACTTGCTTAATCCGTTTCTGTTCTGGGCAGGAGTTCCACCGCCGGAAGGAAGGACTTCTCCACCTTGACTCTCCTGCCAAGCCAAGTGCTACTCTCGTGCAAGAGAGAGGAAAATCCTTCTCTTTGCCATCTTGCACGATTTGGTGCATTGGACCTTTGTTCCGTGTTTCCCCAGCTCCTCTCTTCCTGCTGCCCACCTAGAGAGGTTGCCCCAGTAATGCCCCCCGATCCTAGCCCAAAGGCTGCACATCCCCGGCCTGCCTCACCTGTCGCAGGTAGAGCTTCAGGACATTGCTGATATCATGCGGGGAGGCGTGAGACAACTCGACCAGCTCTTTGCCATTCTCGAAGGCCTGGCAGAGCTTCTCCACCCGGGTTTTCACCCCGTTGACACGATAAATGCCCTACAAGAAGAGGAAGGACCGTGAGGGAAGAGGGGGGAGTTGGAGGCACCGATTTTTTGACTGTTCAGCCTCTTGCCAAGGGCAGGAAGGTTCTGTTATTTATTCAGTAGCAAGTGGGGTTAAACATTGGATAGTTGGAACAGCCTGCAAACAAGCTGATCGAGCTGCCAGGGCTGGGCATGTCTTTTCATCCCCAGGGAAGCAAAGCAGTGCCCACCAGCATCCTTAGGCATGGTCCTTGCCATGGGGCCGCCTGAGGCTGGAGATTGGCCCCTCCGTTCCCCCCAGGGGCATCTCCTCCTAAAGGAGTGAGAAGCCAAACTTTTCCATCCTCAGCCTGTGATTCCCTTCCAGCTTCTAACTGTACGGACTGCAAAGGGGCATTTGTGTAAGGTTAGGGACGTTTGCTTCCTATTGACGGAGGATGTCATCACAAGCTTCAGCCACGATGGAGCCATACAAACCAGTATGTTAAAAAAGCCAAACCAGGTAACCCTGATGGTACCTCTATTGACCTCCCTTAGGATGCTCACCATGGCTCAGTTTCATGGTCTTGGAGCTATACCCCAACCCTCTTCTACTCAAGTGGAAGAACTCCCCACACACTGCCCTGCAGATGGGAAGGCAAGTGGGTCCTGGCTGAAAGCCAACTTAATTTCTTCTTCTTCCCTCTTCTTCCCTTTTTCCTTGAGTGCTGTTTCATTGTTAGATGGTTAAGTCTGCAGCCACATAGTCTTGTTTACTGATTCATTGAAAGTTTTGGCTGAGGAATAGCATTAAAAGGTTTAAATGATTCCCTTTGAAAAAGGCAGTAGTAGTAAGTTATTGTATTTACCCATAAAGGTAAAGGTTTCCCCCTGACGGTAAGTCCAGTCATGCCTGACTCTCGGGGATGGTGCTTATCTCCATTTCCTGGCCGAGGGAGCCAGCATTCGTCCACAGACGGTCTCCGTGGTCGTGTGGCCACATGACTGAACACCGAGGTGCAGGGAACGCTGTTACCTGCCCACTGAAGTGGTACCTTTTTATCTACCTGCATTTGCATGCTTTCGAATTGCAAGGTTGACAGGAGCTGGGACGGAGCAACGGGAACTCACCCCATTGTGCAGATTCAAACCGGCGACCTTTCGATCAACCAGCCCAGCAGCACAGCGGTTTAATCATGGGTTACACCTGCAGTCCTGTATTTACCCATAGGTCATTACAAATCCACATAAGCAAAACAGCAATTTAACAGGTAACACCATAGGTCTAATGTAGCAAAACATAATATTAAAACAGGCCAGCCATAAATCCAGGCAGTATCCCCTTCAAAGCCCGAGGGCTCTTATCTTCTTTAAAAAAGGCTGATTCTGGCAGCCCTGGGATCCCTGGATACAACATCTTCTTCACACACAGCCGGCGCTGCCCCATTACTGACCTTGGTTTTCATGGCCCGCCTTTCGATCTCGCAGATGCACTTCTTGATGATGAAGGGGATGCTGTCGGAACTGATGTGGGCAGCCTGGACAAAGTCCTGTCCAAAAAGCTGCAGCTTGCCTTGGAGTTTCTTGTGCCCACACTGGATGGCCAGCGTCTCCAGGCACTTTTTGTGGCAGGCTAAATAACACTGGCAAAGAGGCAGCAGAAATGGATGTGAAACGGAGGTGCAGCCAAGCAGCCATAAACCACACAAGCGCCCGCCCGCCCGCCCATGGTGCCGCAAGCCCCTTTGCGTGAGAGACGAAGAGGGAGGCCCAACGAGTATTAATCCATCCCTCCAACTCTTGAAACCCTATTTGCTTGGTGGTATTTTCCTCTGTTCAGCTGAATTCTCTTTTTAAAAATTACTCCCTGCCCCTTGCAAGCAGTGCATTGGCTCAGCAGGTAAGGTGCTGGGCTTGTTGGCAGTTCAAATGTAAGCCGCCCAGAGACTTGTTTTAGTAATGGATGGCATAGAAACACTATAAACAAACAAACAAACACTAATTAATTTCCCAGTGCCGGGTAACAGAGCGAGCTCCAAAAGGACCTTCCTACCTCTTCGCATTCAGCTCCCTGAAAATATACGTAACTGTTGCATTCACGGCACTTGGAAGGGGTTCGCAGCTTCCTGAGCCGGTGGGTCTGGGCCGCCTTGGATAAGCCAACGTTCCGGAAGGGGCCGCTCGGCACTGATATTCCAGGGCTTATGTCGCTGATACCTGGCAGTCAGGAGAGAAGAGAAAGTGGCACACCGGTGAAATCCCCATCCATAAAGCAATTTGGTGCAACTGGATTGTAAAAACGAGGAAAATTCCTTAAAAGGGAAGCATGGCCTCTTGGGTTATAGATGCCAAGGGTGCCAAAGAAATGCACATGGACATTAAGAGCGGAAAACAAACATTTCTCCCCATTCAGTTCCTTTGTTGAATGGGTGCCAAAAGTGCAGGCGGTGAGCAGTATTTCAGAAACGCACCAAACAGTCTCTGCCATGTACGCACATTTGCAGTCCCTGAAAAACTGGATTCAAGGTGGACTTGGGATCTCCAACGCGAGTGTAGGCCAAGGAAACCCTCTCCTCTCCTTTCTGCTGCAGAAGAGTGGAACCACCTTGCTAGCAGGAGCAAACCAAAGCTATGTTGCGTCTGTGTGTGTGTTTGTGTGAGTGCACAGGTGAGCACGTGCAGGTGCCTTACTCAGGTTCCCAGGATTGTGCATCCTGTTTGATGCCTCTGCATTTTCATTCTGTCCTGTGTTCTATTGTTCTTCTTAAGAAGCTCCTCAGTCTATTGAGGAGAATTTCTACAAGTAATTCCTGGGTTGGCACATATGCACGTCCATTCTCGCTTTCCTCGGTTAGCCATCTGCTTGTCTGATAAAGCTCCACAAAAAAGGAATAATTTTTGTGGCGTTTTTCTGAATGATGAGACAGAGTGAGTGCATTTCTTGGGATGCTTTTTCTCAGCACTCAGTAGTGAAAGGCCAAGCACAAAGCATCTGAATGCAAATGTATATTTTAAAAACATGTTTCCACGGTCTTTTACCAATGCACTTTTATCCAGCAACATGGAGGAGGTGAGGAGAGGTCCAAATGGACTGGAAGTGAGGGTTAACGATGCACAATTCGGGAACTGAAAAGTGAAGTGATAGATTCATAGAAGAGTTGGAAGGGGCCATGAAGGCCATTTGAGTGCACCCTCCTGCTGTTGCAAGACAATTCACACCATCCCACTCAGGTGGCTGCCCAGTTTCACACTGAATATCTCCGGTGTGAGACAGCCCAGCACCTCTCCAGGCAGCTGGTCCCACAGTCACGTTGCTCTGACCGTGAGGAAGCTTTTCCTGATGTCCAGCCTGAATCTGGGTTGCAGCAACTTGAACTGATTATTCTGTGTCCTACATTCTGGCATTAGCAAGAAGAGATCTTGACCTTCTTCTGTGTGACAGCCTTTGAGGTCTTTCTAGAGGGGCATCATGTCCCCCTCAGTCTTCTCAAGGCAGTTCCCTCAGCCTCTCCTCACAGGGCAGTGTTTCCAAACCCTGGATCATTTTTGTTGCCCTCTCTGACCCTGTTCTCATTTACCTGCATCTTCCTTAAATCTTGGTGCCCAGAACTGGACACAATATTCCAGGTGAGGTCTGACTAATGAGGAGCATAGAGGAGCTACTACTTCCCGTGATTTGGAAGTAATACTTCCGTTAATGCATCCCAAAATAGCATTTGTCCCTTTGGCGGCTGCATCGCATTGTTGGCTCATGTTTAGCCTGTCGTCCACAATTACTCCGAGATCTTTTTCTTATTCAGTTCTGATAGGGAGTCCTCTAATATTTTGGAAAGCACATCAAGCAGTTATTTTAGAAAGCCAGAAAAGCTGGGATGAGAAGTGTGGCGTCTTTCTCTTTGGGCTGTGTTTGGTAGAACTGATATTTGGAGTTAAAGGGTGGACAGGAGAAGTGCAGTTTCTAAATGCTGTTTCATCTGTGCCTCATCCCTCCACTGCACAAAATTCACAACTGCAATGGATCTGTGCATATTGCAGCAGGTTCTCTCTTTGCAGCCAGGCACTACAACCACAATTATCACAAGGCGATGGTTGTTTGTTTGTTGAATTAGCTATATTAAAGTGATGGTAGGATATTTTTTAAATGGTGAAATTCAGGTCCTCAAAGTTTTTATCTTATGCAACTACTAATCTTTCCTGTTACATATGCTCAAATTATTTGACCTTGTTTTAGTAAACAATCAAGGGCTGCCATTGTTTCAAAAGCAACAGACCTTTCATTCTGGGCTACAAAGTCTCAATGTCTTTATCTGCCCTTGCTGGGTGGCAATGTCTATTTCTCCTATATTTTGCAACTAATATAACAGAGGTTGCAAGGTTTCTGCTGGGTTTGAGACGATTTCCATGGCATTGTGGAAGTTTCCTAGGATACAGCCTTTGCTGAAAAGGCAGCAATTATATAATTCTGCAGTATATGCTCATAGGTATTGTGTAAGCTGAAAAGAGGATGTTTCTGGTCTAAACAATTCTTGGATTTTTGAAGTGGAACTGATGCATTAAGAATCTTCCACAGTTCTGTTTTTATTTCCGACTTTTGCACAGGGCCTTGAATATATATATGACTGTGTTGGATCATAACACGTTCTAAACCCCTTGAGTAAAGTAGGGTCGAATGAGATCATGTTCTCTATCTAAGCCAGAAGGACAAGAAAGAATAGCTGCATGACGCATGTGTTTTGTTGAATCTTTTCCATCTCTCTTTGGTAACTTATTAGGCATATTCCATCCTCTTATTCACTAGTTCTTAGAATCAGTTTTACCCAAATTTGGTTCAAGTTGCATTCATTCGCACTGGCACTTATGAGAACTTAACAGATGTACACAAGTGTGCTTCCTGCCCCAAAATGGAAAAGGAGATCTCAGAAAAAGACATGGCAAATTTCTCTGAGGTTCCTAGTTAGTTGACAGTCAGAGCTGAGAAGAGGGACTTGAACTGTGCTGAATGGGGTGATGTGCTTTCTGAAGATGCTTCTCTCAGTTTGGGTGCGTGTCCAAACTCAGCTGGTCCAGTTCTGGAGTGGTCAGGTGTGTCTGCGCAGCTGAGCATGAAGAACATCATCCATTCTTCCTCGAAATGTGTCCTCTGACCTTCCTCACCCAGACCTGAGTTACTTCCCATCTGGACTTCTCCAACACGTTATCTGGAGATTTTAGCTGGTCCGCGGCGCTGTTAGCCAACTGCCGACTGGGCCAGCTGATTGCACATAACTCCGCTTGCAGGAGTTTTGCTGGGTTCTGAGATGCTTTGGGGCACAATTCATAGAAACACAGAAACAGAGCGGGTCAGAAGGGGCCTCCCAGGCCATCTAGTCTGACCCCCGGCTCCAGCCGGCCCCGCTCACGACATGCCCACCATGCGCATGTCCAGCCTATCTTTGAACACCCTCACCAATGGGGCCTATAAAGCTGGGGACCAGCCTTCTGGAAAAACTGCCTTCTCCTGTATGCATTAGCCTGGGTTTGGAGATCTTTGGGAGCTGACACCATTAGGGTGTGTTTAGGGCCAGTGCAGGGGGCCACACTGCCTTGCCCCAGAAGGCCAAGCCCATTTATTGGCCCATTAGCTGTTCTGTTGGGTTGGGTGCTGTTTCTTTGCTGTACCATTCATTTTTATTTTTTAAGTGCGTATATGTGATACCTTTATTAAGGTGTTGTTTTTAGGGTTTGGAGCCTTGAGCACCTTTTCTTAGGGGCTGTGGGGAGAAATTAAATAAGGCTTTGCCTGTTCTTCAGGCCCCCTTCCCTCTACAGATACCTTCCTCTCTTCCCAATGAACACCTGCTCATTCCTCCAGCAACATACGCACTCTGATCAAAGGAAGGCGAATTTCCATCCGATTCGTCATTGGGCGACAGGGCTCCATTGGTCGGCAGCTGCTGGTACTTCTGAGGAAATTCGCCTACCCAGGAAAAATCCACAGTGTGAGGAAATCCAGTCTCCAGGAGACCCGTGAGAGCAATTTGAGCCGCACTGTCCCAGCATTTCCAGCCCTGGCCTCCAGAAGGCAGCCAGGAAAGGTCCAAGAAGAGCTCTGGAGCGTCTCCTTGGGGTGAGACCATGCCTAGTTTAGGAGCCCCTTGGGAGAAAAGGCAGTGAGAGGCGGCCAAAGTTGAGTTCAAATCGTCCATCTCTGGCACATTTTGGCCACGTCCAGCCTGTCTCACCTTCCAGCACAGATGCCCAGTGTGGGACACCAGGTGTGGCTTCTCACACTGGCTGGGACACACCGAGGATAGATAAGTCAGCATTTAGGATGCTGAGCTTTGTAAGAGCAGCTTAGGATGCAATGGAGTGCCCTGACCCTCGGGGCATGCAAGCTGCTGGGAGTGTAGGGTCGCGCATTATATACTCAGAATGAGATCTGGCACTGAGTTATTTCTTTTGCTGTTCTGTCTTACCCTGGGTATTGTACCCAGGCAGCCAGTTTGGGTTGTCTAGATAAGTGGAAGGGAAGGGGAGTAAAGTGAAGGAAAGGAAGCAGGGATGATGAGGGGGATCAGCTTAAATTCTTCCCTCCCCATCCCCAAAAGGCTACTTTCTTCCAGTTGCAATGCTGGGAAGCTGCCAACACAGTCAGCAGAGGGACTCCAAAGCATCCTATGGCTTCCCAGACTATAACATTGGGAGGCCAAAGGATCATGCTCTTTAGTCATTAGACCAAGAACACTCCTCAGTTTCATACACCCCCCATCACAGCATCAGAGGATCAAAGGGGGGGATTGGCTATTTTTAGGGTGAAATGCAAACAAACTGGGAGCTGGGATTTCCAGCAGCATCTTCTGTGCATCCGGTTTCCCTCTGGACATATTGCTCTGACAAGGAGGGAATTCTCAGAAATTTCTCTGCAGCTTCAAGGATATGAAAAGATAAAGAACTCTGGGGGAAGTTTCCACTCTCCCTTCCCACCCTTTGCTTTGATCCCCTGAATCTCAAAGTTTCAGCCCAGCAAGTCTCCAGAAGCGGCTTGTTTGGGATGCTCATTTGCCAGGGGAAGAGAAGCGTTTGCTCCGGGAATGGCTGCCCCTTGAGGCAGGAGGCTGTTGGCTACCTGAGCTCGTGGCACATGACTCCGGCCTGCCCTTGGCTTCCGTGATGGCTGTCGGCCAGGATTTGTGGACCTGGTGACCCCGCCCACCTGAGGAGCCAAATTACAGAACAGGTTTCATTACCTTCTCTGTGAAAGATGCTTCCTAGCTGCGCTCTGAAAAATATTGCAACTTCAGAGGCCACAAGTGGAATCAACAAATCCTGAATCACGGTTCTGTGATGTTTTGAAAAATTCAGTGGGAGAACCAGAACATCTGTACCTTAGCTCTTAGAGCAGATATCAAACACAAGGATAGTGGGTCAGTCGAGAAGACCCAGTATCCTGTTTCCACCAGAGCACAGCCAAAGCGCTGTCCACCTTGTTTGCTCCAAGCACCTTGTATTCAGGGATAGACTAATTTTGAACATGGAGGTTCAAAGTATAACAATAACGTTGCCAAGTCCAGCTAAAAGTTAATTAGGAAAATGTCTCTTTTTGTATACTGGCTAAGCACCTGCCTTTTAGAAGGCCAACCACTAGACCTGAGCAGAGCTCTCCCGAAAGCTCAGGTTGGCGTTGGATACTCAAGAAGGAGGTAGTTCTTGAAGGATCATCTTGATCCCTCTTGAGGGATCAACTCAGAAGAGTAAACTCCCAGCAGCACTCAACTTTGTGGGGACTCTGGGCACCAACTTTTTAAATTTTGAGAAAGCATCCTGGGAAGGCCCGTTCCAAAACACTCCTTTCCCCCCAAAACAAACTGGGGAGATTAAAAGAAAAGAAACTTGGAAAGCGCAGAAGTCCAAGGTGAAGGCGGGGGCTGAACCCACTTCCAGACACTCTTTCGAATGCAAATAAAGGAAGGCAACCTCTTGGTTAAAAGTGATTTCTAAAAAGCATGAAGAGGGGCAAGGAACCCAGTGGCCTAGGAAGGAGTCGGTGGCACAGCACTGCAGCCCTGGACAGATTCTGCTTTCGGGGAAGGTGGCCTTCCTCTTCTGTCTCCTGGACTCTCAAGGGGACTCCACAAGGGGGAATTATCTCCCTGCGATTTCAAGCTGCGCTGTCCCTGGGGCAGAATTTATCCTGGTGGTAAGAATGGCAGCGGGGCAGGGGGGGGGGGTTGATGGTGGTCAAGGATGCCACGGTCACCATGCCGGCACGGATGCTCGCAAGCTGCTCACCTCGCCATTCAGGTGCCACCTGTGTGCCCGGATTGGCAGCCACGTTGCTCTCGGGGGCTGCACCCTCTTTTCCGGCTGCATCGGAGCTGCCGGCGGCCGCAAACTCGCTGGCACTGCTGCTGCCCTTTCTCGAGCGAGCCACCGGAGACCTGTCGGGAAGTAAGATGCATGGAAGGGCTGAACGGAAACCCAAGAGTCCCCTTACCAGGAAAAACAGGGTCCTCAGCAGATCCATGCTACAGTTTTCCTAGATACTTGACCTCACATTCTACCATGGGGGTGAAGAACTGCTTGCAGCCCTTGGGGGCCAAATTTCATCTGGGAGGAGTTGGGGGGGGGGGGGGGCAGATTCCAGTGCTGAGGAAAGGGACCTACAGGGAAAGGAGCAGGGCCAACATATAAAAATACCAGCCAAGTTTCACTTAACGCTCTCATTGGACTCGTTCAGCCGTTAGAGAGGTACGTTGATATTTTAGAGTGGGGGGACCTACACAGACCCTGGAAATCAGCCATCCGTGTCTGAGGGAAAGGGAGAAGGCCAACCTAGCCATTGGGGAACCCCCCCCCCACCCCAGCCCCGGCCCAGGCTGACTTTGAAATACTTTGCAGCTTTCATTTGTATCAATCAGGACAATTTTAAACATAAATACATTGTCTAATAATATATTCTATAAACTTTAGAAATAAAGATGCAGTGGTAAAAGATTATTCTACTTCGGAAAGACTGCCATTTGCAACTCCAATCTCCAGGGCAGCCAGAAGATTAAGGAGGGTTTCAGAAGCATCCCCTTTTCAGGTATTTCTAGTAGGCATGCCAATACACTAAAAGCAAACACACCTGGAGTTGAATTGCTACCTGGAAGGTTGTTGTCTAGAACAACAGAGGCAAGGATGCATCTCTTTTCCTCAGTGCTATGAGCAGGGGGCCTGGGCCTTTGAACGTTTCCATGCATCCTAAGACAACCTTGCAGGGGTGCACAGTAGGGCTATTTTGTCTTAATTAAATTAATTTTGGGAAAGTGGGAAATGAAGAAAGTGAGGGAACCTTGGCTGGGGCCACCTTGGACCGACAGGGGGAACAAGACGTGTGCCCCTGGCTCACACCCCATCCTACCAGCTGTTCTGCGACATGTAGGGTTCGAAGTTGTAGTGTATTTCCGGTTCATCCTCTCTTTGCAGCTGCTTGACATGAGAGGCGTACTGTTGCCCGGGATCGTAGAGTTTGCTGCTCTCGCACAACGTCTGGAAATTGACGGGCATCGGGGCAGTTTGCATGTGCATGATTTGGTAGAAGGAAATGGTGGCCTGGAAGCCAGAGATCGGTGAAGCAAAGGGAGAAGACAGAGAAGAGGGTGAATGGCATTGGACTGTGCAGGTGTGTGAAGTCCACAGTGCAGGACTCCCCGACCTTTCTGGGGTGGTGGAACATTTGCATTGTGGAGGACCAATTTGCGAGGGACCTCGAGGGCTGTCCGAGGGGGCATGACCCACCATGAAAGTGGGAGTTCCCAAAAGACAAAACCGGTGAGAGTAAAGGAAAAGTAATTTGCCCAAGAACTGAGGTGCGAGGCGGAGGAGTGGTCTGAACCCCAGCACAAAGCTGCTCTGAATCCAAAGGCAGAGTGGGTTGCGGGTGACACCTTGCGGCACGCCACAATTCCCAGTTATAAAATGAAAGCGATCTTTAAAAACCTTAAGACATGAAATAAAACTATTAAAGGGCAAGGAGTCCAGTGGTCTCTCAGACAGGAGTTCACAGGTACGCCTTGCTAGACACCAGAGAAAACACTCCTCTGCCATGGAACCAGCAAACATGTTCAGATTGGATACAGGTGTGCGCTTTGTGAGTGTCTCGGCTATTTAACCAAGAAGCAAGTTTCTAGTTCTCATGGCAATGCTCTGGATGGATGGGTCCAGCAGACCTATTAAGATCTCATCAGGCACTGAAGGAAGCTGTGCCCAACTCACCGATTTGATGATCTGGTCGCTCTGCCTAACCACCTCGTGGATCTGCCGAAGGACTGTCACTTTGGTGTCCTCCAGTTCCTGCTTCTCCGTATTGGCATCCGCGACACAGGTCCGGTAGGTAGCCATGGCCTCATCGGCCTGCAGTCGAGAGGGCGTAAGAACCGGCGAGAGAGGCAGCAGGGTGAGCAGAGCTGTTGAAATGCTGCATGCACCCTGGGCTTTTGGGGCCCTGCCTTTTATCGGTCGGGCTGCCTCCTTCGGAACCGGCCCACGTGGGACCCGAAGTCCCCCCTGCGTTCCCCCATTGCTTCTCTGGCCTTTTCCCTTAGTGAAGGTCACGCAGGAGGGAAAGCCGGAGCAGCTCATTCGTAGCTCTTGGAGATCCCCTTCTGGGAGATCCCAAAAAAGCACTGCGGGGTAAAAAGTTACCCCATTCTTAGCATTGTGGGGTAACTTTTCTTGCAGAAGCCCTCCTGGTTCAGCCTGAGCACTCCAAGACCAGCACTGCACCGGAGGCATTCTGGCAGGACGTGGCAGTGGCTGGGAGCCACAGACCCTTGAAGTTGGGTCCACAAAATTGCTGCCTCAAACACCGAATCCCTGCTGTTGATTGTTGGTGTGTGATGATGGCATTTGTAGGCTGCTTTTGCTGGCTAAACAGGTAGGGGAGAGTATCCTAAACTGAGATAGATAGGTGAATGCATCCTTTCAGCATGGGATAAAATGGCCTTGCGTTGGTTCATAAAGGGCTTTTTCCTTTTCCCCTTCCTTCTCAAAGGATTCCACGGGTTTTGTGTCAACACTTCAAAAGCCCCCCTCGGGAAAGACAGCCTCGTTTCCAGGGCTCCCTTCCTCCTCGTTCCGGCCACCTGCATTCTCTGCCCACCTTGTTTCTGGCCTCTTCCTCCAGCCGCCGCTTCTTGTCCAGGGACTTGGTGGTGGTGGCCCCTCCACTGCCGGCCACCTGCTGCTCCTCTTCTGCTTTCGCCATCACATGCTTGGCTTTTTCACACTCCTCCGAGCGTTGCATGTACATTTGCTTGGCCTTTCGTAGGTTGCTCTCGGCCTCTTGCTGTCGGGAAAAGTGCAAGCGCTAACTCTTGCTTTCGGAAGGAGGCATCCCGGGGGCAAAACTCAGCCAGGAGGTGGCCAATCGTTTTGGCCACTGCCATTTCCTGGTGTTACCCACTGGTGCATCGAGGCAGAAGGGCTTTTCCAAGCTGTGCTTCTCCAAATTGCAGCAAGCTTCCAGAAGGAAGGGGTTGCCATCTTTGGGGAAAGGACCACCAAAAGGGAAAGCAGCATGACGGTACTGGACTCGGACTTGGGAGATCTGGCCTTATGTCTCTGTGTTTTTACAGGTTTATACTGCCTGGGAGCTGAAGCTATCTGTCTGGTGTGCAACCATTTGAAAACATCCAGGATAAAAATTTCAGTAAGTACGATTACAGTATAACGTAAAGAGGGAAGCCTGGCAGTAGAACAAAGTTTTTTAAAAGCCCCATCAAATTTAAAACTGAAATGGAAATTCCTGGGAAAATGAGGTCTTTGCCCTGCAAGAGCAGTTGTCAGATGAACCACCCTGAAGTAATTCAACATTCGCGGGGTGGCACAACGGGAAGGCCTCTCTGAATAGCCACCTGCCTGCCTGCCGTGAGTGGGGGAGGGGCGTCCCCACTTGGCCATATCCGGGTGACTTTGGGCCAGCCACTGACTGTGAGCCTAGGCCTACCTCTCAGGGTTGTTGTGAGGAGAGGGTCAAGAGGAGGAGGAGGGTTCTTTAAGCCACCGTGGGTTTCCTTGCAAGAAAGACGGCAGATGCTGATGACAGAAGGTGAGGCTTTATTTGCTGGAGGTCCCAAGATCAGGCTCAGTGGGAAAAGAGTTTGGGGACTCTATCAGGGTGGTTGGACGGATGGTCTTGCTCCCCAAAGCTTGGCCTTGGCCTGCAGTGTGCCGGATGCTGGCTTTGCTCACCAATTTAGCCCTCCATGGTGCCCTGGAAGGCGGCACACCCTTCCCCTGGCCACACACACTTTCCTGTGATGGCCAGCCTGCAGCGATTGATTTCTCCGCTTTGCACTTCCTCCTCCTGACAGGTCAACGCTTGCCTCCTGGGGCCGAATTACCAGCAGGAAGGGCTTTCAACTAAGCCATGCTGGGCCGTTTTGGCCCTGTCCACTTGGTTTCTCCGAAGACGGATTTGGCCTCAGACGGAAGGCAAGGAAGCCTCACTGGGCAGGACGCGGAGAATTCTGCTCTCGTGTAATGCCTTCTTGCAGATCCGCCGCCTCTCTGTTTCACCATCACAACAACCCTGTGAGGTAGGTGAGGCTGAGAGGCAGTGAGTGGCTTAGTCACCCAGACTGGAAACTGGCAGGCTGGCCCAGGTCTTGGTTGTTGTGTTAGTCAAGCCGTACTCCCTTCCCATTGCACAAAGCATCCTTGCTCCTCACCAGCTTCCTTTGGGCCCGGTGCCACTGTTCCTTGATCTCTTTCCGACGCTTCTCATGCTCCAGACGCCTTAATGTCAGCGGCTGGAGAAGGCAAAGAGCAAACGGAAAAGAAGCTCCGATTTATTTAGTGGACTGATGCATGGGAGAACACATCTTCTGCCATTTGCTCCCTTGCTTTTTCGTCCTGCAAAAAAACTGACCCGTTCAAGAGCTTGCCTGGGTGGGAGAGCGGGAGAACCGCGTGTGAGAAGGTTGTGTGGGCCGCTGAGCCACAGAGGCTTCGAACTCTCTTTAATGAAGCTGTTGGCCTACACTATGCTGGTGTCCACCTCTTCCAGCTCCGTGCAAATTGGTTTACCCAACACAGACTAATTGTTTGATTATTTAAACTGTTTCTACCCTGCTCTGCAGCCAGAGCAACTTAGCTGTGATCAGTCAAGTGTGAGTCACTCTCTGAAAAGACATGACACACAGGGAGAAAGGGGTGGGCAAGGAAGGAAAGGGGGGAGAGTGACTGTTGTGCCATGTTCCCTATCCCAGTCTTGGGATGATGCCTCGCTGCATTTTGGCCCTGGCTTTGCTGAAGTCCCTCCTTTCGGACAACTCCTATTGCCGAGTGGTGTTTCTCACCTCAGCCTGACTTAGATCTGGTTGTGCAAGTTTGCACAATTCCTTGTCCAAGCAGCCGGCTTCGGCCTCACCTCCCTCTTACCTGCAGGAACGTTTCCGTTCGCAATGTGGAGGCAGCTTGCAGAGAGCTGACACTGTATTCCATGTCTTGCTCCAACGCCAGAGAATAGATAGAGAAGAACGGCATGAAAGGCTGAAGGGATGCAAGACAAACACAAAAGCAACAGCAGTGCTGCAGGTGTCAATCAAGAAAGAGGACAGACGTCGCACTCGAGCCAGGCAGCGAATGCCATTTCCCCCCCTTTGGGTCTTTTAAAACACCCGTATTCCCCTTCATAGCAATGGCAAATCCTGGTTCTCCAGGGGGCTTCTGGTCTCCTCGTAGTTCCCACTCCTCCCCCCACACCTTTCCTGACACTTTATAACCTACCACAGAAATTGAGTTCCAACAGATCTGCACAGATGTGCTTTCCCAAATCTTGGCCTTGCAGTTCATGGCAACACACACTAAAGGGTTATACATCATGTCCTGCCTGTACAGGCATCAGGCTCTCCGAAGCTCAAGGGCTCCATCTAGTGGCCAGAACCAAAATGGACACTGCAGTAGTTGCAGGATTGGGGTCCAGGTCCTGCAGGAGTGCTCAGCCTCCGGTGGAGTCCTGGCTGGGGGCCCTGGGGGGAGAGCTATGGAAGAGCCAGCTCTTGCTGCAGGGGCAGCCTTAGCAATGCAAGGCTTCCTGCTGCCCGCAGTGAGGTCCGGCTCCCACACCTGGCCTGGCCTGGGCCTCTCTCTGTCTGGGCCCTGCCTTGCTCTATTCTGCCGCGCAGCCTCGCCTTAGCAGCACGGGTCTCTCTGCTCACTGTAGTGCAGCTCAGTCCCTTCCTTGCTGTACCGTGCCTTGTGGAATCGCTTCGCCTGCACCCAGTGACTCTCATGAATGCCACCCGGTTCATGCCGTCGCAGGAACCTGCTCCCTGCTTTTCTTAGTATTCCCAGTTCTCGATGCTCACAGTGTGCCGTCCGTGGCACTTCCAGTTCTTGACTTTGGCCTGTTTCTTGGCCACAAACCTGCCTGCAACCATTAGACTCTGGGCAGCGTTTGGACCCTGCTCTGCCTCGGGTTCTCTTTGGTGACGTGGGGATGCTGCGAACCCAGAGGGCTGCTTTCGTGCATTTCCACAAACTTACCACCTGCCCAGGTAGGGGGCTATTCTTCAGTTTAACCACTTCTAAGTACTTGCAATGCACTGCTTAAGACTCCCAGGCAAAATAGCAGGGTGGGTGGTGAACACATTTCTGTTGGCCTTTTTCTGCCAGTGATCTGGGCGTCAGTGGGCTTTTTCCCAGGGGAGTTCTTGAAGCAAAGACTGGACACTACCAGGGCTTGACTTCCAAGCTGGACCAGATTGTCTATAAGACCCCCTCCACTCCAACTCTAGGCTTTCAGGATTTTCTGTGTGCAGAAAAGCTATTGCAGAGCCCAGTCTCAGCTTTTCTTAATACCCATATTCCACAGACAATGGTACTGTTTCTTATCTTCCAGTATTTCTCCTATTGCAGTACTGACCAGATAAGCCACATTTTCTCTGCAAATTCTATGGATGTTTCTTGGATCGCTTAGCAAAACCCTGAGGGGGGTATGATTAGGTCTCGGATCAGGCCTTCCAACAGCTAGTACTGGTCACAGCATTTGTGGAACTGGAATAATGTGTGAGCTACTGGGAAAGCAGTCTTTCCCAGCCAGGACCTTCTGGTTATACTGGACAGCTGTCTTCTTATCTAGCCTAACAAGGCAAACTAGCTCCATCTACTGTTGGCAAAAACTGATAGAATCGGCAGCTCTGAGAGCAGCAGAGAGGGGAGAAAAACACTCGAAAGAGACTTTCTGGACTTTCCAGGCCAGTTGCCTATAGAAATGGCCTCTAAGGATATTCCAAGCCGTGCTGTCAGAACTGGCTGCACTGCCTTGCAGGATGGATATAGGCGCACAGACGTACCACCTGCGTGATGGTTTGCTTGCAGGTGTTCACCGCCTTCTGAAGCCCCTTCGCGAACTCCATCTCTGGGGAAGGAAAAGAGAAGGAGGGAGAGGGTTCATGGTTCCCGGGGAAGGGCTGGAGCAAAGCAGGCCTGGCCTAGGCTTCTCCCTCCTCTTGCTGCTCACCCAGAGCCGTCCTCTTTTCCAGGTAGTAGATGAGGTCCTTCATATACTTGGAGACATTCTTGGCGTAGTTAAGGGCCACTTCCACCCCTCCCTCGCATTTCTGGAGTAGGACATCCACCTCTTCTGCCGACAGACGGGCTGCCCACACAGAAGGGAAATAAGGATTGAGAAATAAGCAGGGTCAGGTGTCAGCTCGACACATTACATAGTTGAATGTGTTTATTTAGTTCAGGAAGCTCCTTCAGAAAAGCCTCCAGAGTGGGTCACGAGAAAAGCAAAGAAACACACAACAAAGTCAATATTAAATGGTTGGAAGACGGTCCTGGCATCAAGAACTAGTCCCTTCTGTAGAGGCAATTCACAACCAGGGTGGACACCACCAAAAAGGCCCTGTCAGCAAACTCCTCTCTGAAAGCAGTGATACTGTGGGGTGAACTAATTTATTTATTTACACATGGTATACCACCTATTTCACCACGGCATTTCCAGGCGACTAACAGATAATTCAAATACTAAACAATGGCATAAATTAATATAAGACCTGATAAAATTACATTAAAATTACATTAATTTCCCTCATTCAGCTCTTTTATCACAGGGGTGGCTTTAGGCTGCCCTGAGTCTTGCTGCAAAACAAAAATTGCTTCTGGTCAGCACGAAGCAGCTGCCACTGACAGACTGTTGGGAAGGCAGAGAAGGAAGAGGATGTGGGGGTGGAGATGGGGGCCAGCTGAGTTCAGCCCTACCTGTGCTGGCATGTGGTTCTTTTAGATTGCCCCCCCCCCCCGGAATGTGCCCCTCAATGGGAAAAGAGGGGATCTGCTTTGTGCTGTGATCCCTCCTCCATTTTATTTAACAAGGTGAGCACCTGAAAGGAAAGAAGAACAAGTGGAAACAGGGCGAGGCCATGAAAGAAGAATTTCTTGCAAACAGCAGGGAATTGCAGGAATTGCATCCAGAAGGCTAAGCAGGAGATGAACTGTGAACTGCTTAGCAGAGAGGTCTTTCTTCACGTACATCCAGAACAAAAGACATGAGGAAGAGAAGGGTGACCAGCTACCGTATTTTTCGCTCTGTAAGATGCACATTTTCCCCCCCCCCCAAGAGTAAGGGGAAATGTCTGTGCGTCTTGTAGAGCGAATGTGTGTGTGCCCGATGCCCGGGACGCTGCCAGCCGCCTGCACCACGTGGCACCACCTGGCTGGCACACGCTCGGCGCGCCCTGCTCCGCCCCCCTCCTCCGGCACAGGTGAGAGCTGTTAATCACAGGTCGGTGTGTGTTTTCAAATGGCAACCCGTCTTTTAATGAAGCCCATGGGGAAGTGATGGGGAATGTGCCTGTGATTATCAGGAAGCTTTCCATGGATCAGTTATCTGTTAGTTGATCAGACACATTTTTTTAGGATCAGTGGATATTTGAACAGCATTACCTTCGTGTATGAAGTTTATTCTTCAAAGGCTACTTAGTCCGCTGTGTGTTTGATTTACCGTACAATATCTCATTTTTTGTCAGAAGTTTTTTTCTATTATTTACTAGTAGGGCAGCGTGGACATTACTGGCTTTTTTAGATTTGTTATTGAATTGTCTGCAGCAGCTCTTGTATAACTGGCGTAGATTGTGGATTCCTTCAATAATTCCACTACTGACTAAGAAAGTGATGTCAATGATTGTGAGCAACAGAGCTTCATAAATTCTGACTCTAGCGATGATGCGTTCTATGGGTTCAATGAAAACTAGAAGAGTACTCGAACTTTAAAGTCTCTCTTTTGTTAATGACAGTGATGATGGTTCTTAATGCCACTGTTGACTGCTGTTCACTTTACAAGGTTGAAATATGGTATTACTGTATTCTGTTATAGTTTATTAAATAGTTTAGTAAACCATTTGATTCAGAATATTTTTTTCTTGTTTTCCTCCTCTAAAAACTAGGTGCATCTTATGGTCAGGTGTGTCTTATAGAGCGAAAAATACGGTACTTAAACTGGGAAGCAGAGGGAAAACAGAGAACAAAGAAAAGGCAGAGGTGCTCCATTCCTACTTTGCTTCCGTCTCCTCCCACAAGGAGATCTGCAATCAAGAGGAAGTACAACTGGAAATGAGAGATGGCAGCCCAAGACGGACAGACAAATGGTCAAGGAAGACCTGGGTGGAAGAAGCACGTTCAAAGCCCGATCACCGCCAGCCCAGAGTCATACAAGAGCTAGCGGAGGGACTCTCAGAACCACTGGCTATTATCTTTGATCACTCCTGGAAAACAGGAGACGCGCCAGACCACTGGGGAAGGGCTCATGTTGTCCCTGTCTTCAAAAAGGGGGAAAAAAAGATGAAGCTGGGAACTACAGACCAGTTAGTCTGACATCAATCCCTGGAAAAATCCTGGAGCAAATTATTAAAATCCATCTGCAAGCATCTTGAAGGAAATGCAGTGATTAATAGAAGCCAGCATGGATTTATGAAAGATAAATCTTGTCAGACTAATTTAATCTCATTCCTTGTCTGGGTAACTCCCCAAATCCCCTTCATGGATCACTGCCTTGCTGTGGCGAAGGGGCTTGTGTAGCTCAATGAAGCTATGAGCTCTGCCATGCAGGGTCACCCAAGATGGACAGGCCGTAGCAGAGAGCTCTGACAAAATGTGATCCACTGGAGAAGGAAATGGCAACCCACTCCAGTAGCTTTGGCATGAATACCCCATGGGCAGTACCAAAAGGCAAAAAGATTTGACGCCAGAAGATGAGCCCCTCAGGTCGGGAGATGTTCAATATGCTACTGGGGAAGAGCAGAGGGCTAGTACTAGTAGCGCCAGAAAGAGTGAAGCGACTGGGTCAAAGCCGAAAGGACACTCAGTTGCAGATGTATCTGGTGGTGAAAGGAGAGCCCGATGCTGCAAAGATCTATTCTCCATAGGAACCTGGAATGTAAGATCCATGAATCAAGGCAAGCTGGATGTGGTCGAACAAGAGATGACAAGACTGAACATCGACATCTTGGGAATCGGCGAACTAAAATGGACAGGAATGGGTTGATTTAATTCAGATGACCATCAGGTATACTACTGTGGGCAAGAATCCCTCAGAAGAAATGGAGTAGCCTTCATAGTCAATAAAGAGTAGGAAAAGCAGTACTGCGATACAATCTCCAAAATGACAGAGTGATCTCAGTTCGAATCCAAGGCAAAACATTCAACATCACAGGAGTCCAAGTCTGTGCCCCAACCACTGGTGCTGAAGAGGCTGAAGCTGACCGGTTCTATGAAGGCCTACAACACCTTCCAGAAATAACACCAAAAAATGATGTCCGTATCAACATGGGGGATTGGAATGCTAAAGCAGGAAGCCAAAAGATAACCAGAATAATGGGGAAGTTTGGCCTTGGAGTACAAAGTGAAGCAGGGCAAAGGCTGGCAGAATTTTGTCAAGAGAAGACGCTGGTCATAGCAACTACCAGAAGTACAAGTTGGGTTTCAAAAAAGCAGAGGAACTAAAGATCAGATGATCTTTACTCTGGATCATGGAGAAAGCTAGGGAGTTGCAGAAAAACATCTACTTCTGTTTCATGGACTATGCTAAAGCCTTTGATTGTGTGGATCACAACCAACTGTGGCAAGTTCTTAAAGAGATGGGAGTACCAGACCATCTTATTTGTCTCTTGAGAAACCTCTACGTGGGTCAGGAAGCAACAGTGAGAACTGGACATGGAATGATTGATTGGGAAAGGAGTTCGGCAAGGCTGTATTTTATCCCCTTTACTATTTAACTTATAAGTAGAGCACATCATGTGAAAGGCCAGGCTAGATGAGTCATAAGTGGGCATTAAGATTGCTGCAAGAAATGTCAACAACCTCAGATGTCCTGAAATTACATGACAATGACACTCTAATGGTAGACATCAAAGAGGAACTAACTAGAGGGTCATGATGTGGGCAGAAGAGGAGAGCACAAATGTCAGCTTGAAATTCAACATAAAGAAAACTAAGATTATGGCATTCGGTCCCATCCTTTCCTGGCAAATATATGGGGAAAAATGGAGGGAGAGACAGGTTTTTGTTTCTTGGGCTCCAAATACCACAGATGGTAATTCCAGCCAAGAAATTAAAAGATGCTTGCTCCTGGGGAGGAGAGCTATGGCAAATCTAGACAGCATACTAAAAAGCAGAGACATCATCCTGCCAACACAAGTGCGTATAGTCCAGGCGATGGTTTTCCCAGTTGCAATGCATGGCTGTGAAAGCTGGACCATAAGGAAGGCTGAGCGCCAAAGGATTGAGGCCTTTGGATTGTGGTGCTGGAGTCCCTTGGACCACAAGGAGACCAAACCGGTCAGTCCTAGAGGAGATCAACCCTGAAGTATTAGTTCCAGATCATGAGAAGCAGTAGTTCCTCTATACTCCTCCCTAGTCAGGCCTCACCTGGAATGCTGTGTCCAGTCCTGGGCACCAAGATTTAAGAAAGATGCAGGTAAATTAGAAAGGGTCCAGCGGAGGGCAACAAAAATGATCCAGGGCTTGGAAATGCTGCCCTGTGAGGAGAGGCTGAGGGAACTGGGCATGTTCAGCCTTGAGAAGGGAAGGCTGAGCGGGGACATGAGATCCCTCTATAAGTCCTTCAAAGGCCAAGGTATCTTCTCATTGATGAAAGAATGTAGGACACAGAATTTTCAAGTCCAGCTGCCACAAGCCAGATTCAGACTGGACATCAGGAAAAGCTTCCTCAAGGTCAGAGCAATAGGCAGTGGGACCAGCTGCCTGGAGAGGTGGGGGCCCTCCCACACTGGAGACATTCAAGGTGAAACTGGGCAGCCACCTGGGCTGGATGGTGTGAGCTGGTGTCCTGCAACAGCAGGGGTTGGACTGGATGGCCTTCCTGGCCCCTTCCAGCTCAGTCATAGAATTCAATGGTTCTGTGATTCTAAGAAAGCCCTGTGAGGAGAGACTGAGAGAACTTGGCACTTGTCCTTCCTGTTCAGCCTTGAGAAGAGAAGACCGACAGGGTACGTGATATCCCTCTATAAATCCTTCAAAGGCTATCACAAAGAGGAAGGCCGAGGTATCTTCTCACTGATAAAAGTCCAGCTGCAGCAAGCCAGATTCAGGCTGGACATCAGGAAAAGCTTCCTCATGGTCAGAGCGATACTGCAGCGGGACCATCTGCCTGGAGAGGTGGGCGCTCCCATACTGGAGCCATTCAAGGTGAAACTGGACAGTCCTCTGCATGGGATGGTGTGCACTGGTGTCCTGCAACAGCAGGGGATGGACCTGATGGCCTTCAGGGCCCCTTCCAATTCCATTATTCTATGATTCTGAGGTAAGTTTGTAACATTCTGAGCACCTGTGGTTGGCCACACCTTTCCTTTCCTTTCTGTCAAAGTCACCCACACTGGGTCAGCAAATTGCATTGCTGAAATTTCTCAGGGGCCTCATTCCAGCTCGAGGTAGAAAGGGCAGGGCCAAAGAAGACCACTAAACTCCCCCAAACACCAGCACGCTTTATGTTAACGCTACTAAGAATTCGTGGAGCAACTCCACAAATGCCAAGAAGCCATGAAATAACGCATAAGGTGGGAGCAGAAGACATTCGCTTTCCCCAGAGGGAAACCGTTGATGCCCAGTCCCGAGACCCCGCACACTGGATTCAAGTCACTTGGAGCCAGTACTTTCATTTTTGCAAAGACTGCCCGAAATCCTTTGCCTTGATTGCACAAGAATGTGCCGCAATTTGCAGGCATCTGAAATACGGTCTTGAGCATTGATCACTATTGCAGAAAAAGTTTCTTGATATATTACAGAATCATTGAAAGATGGCTTTTTGTAGTGTTTGCTTCAGAGCATATTTGTACGTCATTAATACATTGCAAGGGAGAGACATGATGAAATGCAGAACCACAGTGAAGGCTGCAATTATTATTATTATTATTATTATTATTATTATTATTATTATTATTATTATTATTGCTTACTTGAACTGAAGTCTTTCTTGCCATCTGGCACCATTTCTGGACCATGGCCAGTAATTCCTCCATATAAATTTTCCATACACTGCGGCAGTGGGAAGAGAGAGAAGCTGAGAACACCAAGGGCTGTTTTCTTTATACATCCCTCCTTGAATCCCATCTTTTCTGTGGGCACAGCCCTCAGCCCCCATACCCATTTCCCGTGAAATAAAACTATTTTCCCCACTTATTTATCTTGCAAATTGTTCTCAATTTCCCAGCATTCAAATTGGTGCCAGCGGGTGGGCTGAAATTGGCTCTGAATTCAGTGAAGACATTAGGGCTCCCTGGTTTTTAAAAAGCTCAAAATGCATCTATTTAGAGAGTTATATTTGACATTTGCAGCGCTTCCTGGCTGTGTTGGAGCTGCAGCATGTCCAAGGTTTAACCCTTGGCAGTGAAGAAAATCCCTACTGGAGACTGTGGAGAGCTGGTCACCCCAGTGGAGAAGCCAGATGGGGTGGGCAGCTTCCAGCCTGGATGCTAAGCATCACCCAGGAGAACCACTAGAAAAAGGCCATTCTGGATCCCAGCTTTCCACTGTATTGAAAAGGGCACCAGGCTGGGGGAGTTTAATCCAACCAGTACTGGCAGCTATTTATTTATTTAACCCATCCACTACAGACGTCTCAGGACGGAGTACAAAAATGAGAAGAATAAAACCAACAGCACAGCGTCTGACAATTAATATACTAAAACCCCAGTTAAGACCAACTAAACATTAACATAGAGGGAAAATAAAAAGGGGCGTTTGCCTGCTGCCGAAAAGAGTATAGCATCGGTGCCAGGCGAAACTCTCGTTTGCTCTCCACTGCTGCAGCGGGGCGGACTTCCGGCCATGCTGCCCGGAAAAACAGGCTGGTGCTGCACCAGCTCAGCTCACCTGGTTCTGCTCACTGGGAGGGATGGAGAGGAGGGTGTTGCTGTCCACTTCCCCCATGAGGAACTCGGAGACTCTGGGGGAAAACACAAAATTAGGCTTATAAATCTGGGCGTGACCCACGGAAGCCCGAGTGCTCAGAGCTGCATAAAAGGGGCCATAGGCCAGCCCGGGGTATCCGACTGCATCAAGCTGTTCCCAGGGAAATCCTCATTCCACTCTTGGAAGCTTGCCCTAGAATCCCCCTGAAGTTATTAGCTGAGAACAGAACGAGTCTGCCAAGGGGGTCTCCTTGCCCATCTCTAATGAGGGCTTGGGCATTTGGTGGCTGTGGACAGAACTCCAGCAACACACACAGACGGGCCATCAGCTCTCCAGCCTTCCTTTTCCTCCTCATCCCTTTAAACACAACAGGAAAAACCACTGCTCCTTTCTTAAAGCCATGCAGCAAACACACCTGGAAGTGGTTCCCTTTGTTCCAACTCTTCCTCAGGGAAGGAAAAGGCTCCCGTTGCACCTTTCAGAGAAGTTTTTGTAAGGGCACCTGGGAGAACTACTTGAATCAGGCCATCTGAGATCCTGGCATTTCATTGTCTTGAAAAGGGCTTTGTGTGTGTGCGTGTGTGTGTGTGTGTGGGGGGGTGGTATTCCAAGTCTTTCACCCCCACCTGGATAGTTAGAAGATGCTCTTGGTTAACCTTCTTGGCTGGAGGCTAAGGCAAAGCCAGGTGGCTGCATTTTTGGATGCTTTAACTCTGGGTTTGTTGTATCATTGATGGTCTGTTAGGTGGCCTACAAACAGCTGTCTCCCTGCGTCTTTGATGTTCAAGAGCACAGAACAGGGATGGTGTGGAAGCTCTTCCAACCTGAGGGCTGGTTTGAATTTTGCAGGAGCCCTTGGGGTTTCTCCCCAAGTGAGCACAAGAGGCAGGATGAGAACAGAAGGGGTGAGGCCCAAAACCCAGCTTTGGCTGAAAGGTCCCTTTTTGAAATGTCAGCATTTCAGAACAGGGGAAACGCTCAAAACGTGCTGCGCATCAGTGGTCTGGGGACTGCGGGCTGGGAACCATCAGGAGCTGGTCCTAGCCAGCCACCAGAGAGATCTCGCTGAAAGAAGAGAACGGGGCTCTGGAAAACATTCCTCTGCAGCTGAGAATTGGGAGGATCTCATTCCAGTCCAAAGGCAGCTTGGAAAATGCCACCTCAGCTGTCTTGGCTGGCCCCACTAAGGATAGCCTGAGCGTGCACATGGTGGGCGTGTCATGAGTGGAGCCGGATGGAGCCAGGGGTCAGACTAGATGGCCCGGGAGACCCCTTCTGACTTGCTCTCTTTCTGTGTTTCTATAACCCCTCCAGTCATACGCCCTGATCCTCAATTCTCTTCTCAGCCAGATCTTCAGGGAAGGCTGCATCAATCAGATCAGCTGGGAAAAGCGAAGGCTCTTTGGACGGGCTCTGGAGCGGGTCCGTGTGCCCCCTTGCACAGTGCAATGCCCTGGCTTGGCTTCTGGGCCAAGTGGGGGTGAGGCAGGGGGATCAGAGGGCCAGCCATTTGCTTACGTGCTGCTGAAGGACACCGCCATCGTCTCCACGGCCTTTTCGAATTCCCGCTTGTCGGCCTCCTGGTTGGATTCATAATGGAACCCTGCATGGGAAGCGGGAGAGAGAACACTTGGAACTTCCTTGAGCAGTTCCAACCTCAGAAGGGCTGTTCGGGTGTCTCTAGGCATGTTTTCCATGCTCCCCCAGATTAAAGAAAGAAAGAAAGCTCAAGAATTGAATGACAATATTACTTAAGCATGAAACTTAAGGCAAAAAATAAAAAACCAGGAGTGTTTCAAACACAGAGAGGGAATTAGAAACCTTCAACCAGTAGGTTTGGTAAAACAGGAAGAGGGCAAACAACCTGCAAGAGTCTTCCAGAAGACCCCCACCTATTAACAAAAGCACCATTGCAGTCCTTCTGGACACAGCCTCCCAGGGGGTAAGCAGTGCAATTTGCCCCACAAGCAGCTGCAGGATCAGGGCCACACTCGGAGGTGTGCAGGGATCAGGGCTGGCTGTCCTGGAAGGTCTATAATGGGCTTCCTGGTGCTGCTGGGCTCAAGCACAGCACTGCAGGTGATTCCGTTGTGCTTCCACCCCCAGGCTTTCCCTTCAGCCTTGCCAGGCACCTGCTCCTTGTCTTTTCTGACCGCCGTTGCTGGAAAATGATCTCTGATTCTGCCCTGCCTTCTTTTGGCATCTGCCCCTTGCCTGCTCCTGGTTCCAGGTGTTCCTTTGAACCTCTCGTGGCTTCCTGGATACCTGCCCCTTGCTTGTTTCCAACCTCTTTGCCTCTGGTGCTCCTGCATTGTGCAAAGACCTCTCTCCAGCTCCACCATTCCTGGTCCTGGTTTCTACCCTAGTCTCCTTCTGCTGATACCTCAGCTTTGATATTGTGTCTTTCATTAGAAGCTTCCTTCTTACAGCTTTTGTCACTGTTTTCTTTTGATTTGACAACAGGATTCCTGATGAACTGAGCTTTATTTCCGCCTGAATGAGTTCTTGTTCCCTTAATGTTCCCTCCTCTTTCCATTGACTTACAGAAACTCCTATATCACAATAGGAGAGGAAATCCATAATTAAAGCCCTGCACCCCTTCACAAGGAGCAAGAACTGCATAACAATGGGGCAACTAAGAAGCAATCCATCACTAACACCACGGTGGAGTAAGGAATTAAAAGGACAGGAAATACAGACAAGAAGCTTCTAATTCAAGTCGCAGGGGACCTTGGCTGAAGAGCACTGTCAATCAATCAGTCAATAAATCAATCCTTTATTCAGTCATTGATCAGCCAATAAATAAAGCATAAAATGACACTTAATTAAAAATAAGAAATATACAATACGGATACAATTACAGTAATTAAAATAAGAAAGTAAAAGCAATCTAGTAGAACCTAGCAACATTTGAGGTTAATTGTACCACGCACTATACAAACCACTGACCAATATTTGGCTGTAGTCAAGGAGATAAAATCGGATTGATCAGATAAAAGTAATTCAAGGTAAAACGAATTGGGGTAACTGGGATATTTAGGAAGGGGTGGGCATAACAATTCCTGGGGAGCACCTGCACAGAGAGGGGCTATGGATGAGTCTGCATTGAAGAGCTTTTCTGCAACCAACACTTCAGGGGTACTAAAGGATCCCCAGTGCTGGAACAACACAAATGTTGGATCCTCTTTGGCTTGGAGGGGGTTTTCTCACACCTTTCTCTGGTGACCATTTGATAATCATTTATTTACATTACAAAGCAACTGAATAGCTACCCTAATTTTGCAGTGCAGGAAGGAGTTTTGCTTTCTGCAAAGCACAGAACCAAGGAATCCGCTGGTAGATTTAATTGAAGACTTGGGCTACCATGTGGTTAGCACTTCAGGGTACAGGAAGCCAGAAACAGTTGTTTTTTTCTCCTTTTTTAATGTGTGGTGTATCCTCCCTTGCTACAATTCTAAAGCTTCTCTTTATTTACTCTCAAAGAAGGTTTTATAAGACTTCGAACAGTGGACACAGATATGATGCTGATAGATTACAAAACAGGGTTAGTGGGAAACCGCGATGAATATTTAAGATGATAGAGATCTCTAGATGATAGAGAGTGTAGAGATCTCATTTATAGTTTTTTTTTTCTTTTGCATCTTGGTTTTCCTAGGAATCCAAGAGTCAACAGTTGCGATGAATAGATATCTCGGTCGAACATGTAGTCAATTCTAAGTGTATTCCTTCCTTGTCTATGTGATTGTTTTAATTGCATGAAAATTCCCATTATCTGCATTCCTTATCCACCCAATTGAGTATTTTTTGAGCTGACTGCAAAACTCAGATACGTGCAATCCAAAGAATTGCTAGATTCTGATCCAGGAAAAACAGCTTAGGACAGCTCATTAAAAATGCAGATCAAATACCATTCTCCAGTGTTACCCCCTACAGTCTTTGGACATGGAGCAGGGGGAAAGTGGATTCATATAGAGTTGTATATGCCATAGGAGCCAGGAATTCTATACATCTGTCCAGTGATTCCTAAAGGGTCATTTGTCCACCGCATTATCATTTTAAGGCATGCATGCCCAATTTCCCCTAGGAGGAAAACCCTGTTAGCCTGTTGTCCAGGGTTCACAAAACAATGACAGTCCCTGGTGGAATGCACTCACCTTTGACCTTTGATATAAGCGTTCCTGCTGCTGTTAAGGTCTCCAAAGTGTTCAGTAGAGGGTACCTGTTAATGACCTGTCGGAGAATCCGTAAGGTTTCCCCCAGACACTCGTGGGCAAGCTGCCGCCGCGACTCCAGGCCATCTGCAAAACAGAAGATTGGTGCTGCTTTCTCTCTCTCTTTCTCTCATAGCTGCATACTGCCATTCTAGGGCAAGCTTCACCAGCTGAATTTCTGCCTGCCGCACTGCTGCCAAGCACCGGCATCCTGCTGGAGAGGGTTCAAAAAAAGCTAACCATCTTTGATAAGCAGAATCCCCACCTCTCCCCTTTAAAACATCAGCCATAGGCTATTTATGGCTTCCGTCTGCATTTTTCCAGTAGATTTGAATGCCCCCGTTGCACAGCTTGGGAGTTCGCTTCCCTTCCATTCAGCTTCAGCCATTCCACTATCATCCACCTTTTTATCATCGCCGCTATCTAGGAGGCCAGCTGGCCAGCCAACTTTCCCAGCATCAGACAGAGGTCAGCAAGTGTTCACACACCCAGTGATCCCCACCATTCCCTAGCCGCTGGAGTCGCCAACTTTTTTTTATTATTATTAGCCTGTGATCCCACATCTTTAAAGACACTTTGAGCTGTATTTGGAGAAAGGAATTCTCATTTGGTTCATCTGATGCTCCATGAAAGCTGGCAACTTGACTGTTGGCAGGGCTCCAGATCTGACTCGGCTTTGAAGGATCCTTTCTATGGTGCCTGGGCTCAGCACCATCAATAGCTCAGAGTCAAATCTGGAGTGGCTAAGGAGCCCTGTCAACATGGGAACTGCCACGGAGTGCAGATGAGCTTGAAGAGAGCTGTTGAACCTGACCTACTGTTGTGAAAACAACCCATGCCTACTTACCAGGCTGGTAAGTTGGCAACCATTCCTTGACCACATTTATTCTTGACATTATCGTAAGAAAATAAGTCTTTGCCATCCCTAATGAAGTAATGCTTGGCACCTGTGCGGTTTCATATTAGAAACACACTTTGTTCTTGGCACTGTCAGGACTATAGAACATAAATTATAATCACGCCTGTAACTGCATTCAGGATGTCGTTTTTGCTTTGTGTTTTATCAATGTGCATATGAATTTTGGTGACATGAACTGTATGCGTGCAGGGCAGGGGGGATTAATGAAATCTGCACCAAAGGGCAGTCCGGAATTAACTTTAGACATTATTTTTCCTAATAGGCAATCTCAGTTGAAGAATGAAATTCTGAAACAATGCAAGAAATTTTCAGAAATGTAATTTGGCATCAGGAAGACTGGTGTTTTGTACTAGTGGTGAAACAAGATATTTTGTTTCTGCAGTTTCTCTTTCCTCAACAAACTTCCCTAACGTGCTGTACCTGGGGCTGCCCTTAAAGAGAGTCCGGATACTTCAACTGGTTCAAAACAGAACTGACAGATTGCTGTTGGGGGCCGATTGCTATTCTTATATAATGCCGGTCCTCTGTCTGCTTCACTAGCTTCCAGTTGAAGTCTGGGCCCAATTCAAGATGCTGGTTTTGACCTACAAAGCCCTAAACGGCTTGGGACCAGGATACCTGAAGGAACGTCTTTTTCCCCACATGCTCTCCCACCCCGTAAGATCTGCAGCAGAGGCCGTGCTCCGGGAACCCTCCCTGAAGGAGGTTAGGAGAGAGGATACTCGAAGAAGGGCCTTCTCTGTGGTGGCTCCCCGGCTGTGGAATGCACTCCCCAGAATGGTCCGCCTGGCGCCAACATTATATGCCTTTCGGCGCCAGGTCAAGACCTTCTTATTCTTCCGTGCTTTTAACGTTTAATATTTTAAGTTGTATGCATAAGTTTTATGAGCATAAATTTCAGTTGTGGATTCTTTTGTATTCTTTGGGTATATATGTATTTATTGAATTTTGAACTTGTAAGCCATCCAGAGACCCGCAAGGTATTGGACGGGGTAAAAAAAAAAAAACCAAATAAATAAATTAATAGGGTTCTTTGTTGGGGGTGTTTATGAGGATATAATGCAGGTATGAATATATATAGTCCGGTTGAAAAATAAAACAAAGCATGAGGGGGCCAGGTTTTAAAAAGATCTTTTAAAAGGAACCCGTTTTGACCATTAGCTCTCCGATTTCCCTGCTCCCATAAAAGGGAATGGCTCACATTTCCCCACTTTTCCAAGCTGTTAGAGCCTTGGGAAAGTGTGAGGAAACTGAGAAAAGTCTGCTCTTTCTCAAAACCTAGAGGATTAAATTGCAAAAGTGTGATCTGCTGGCCACCTCCTTTTGCTTTGTTTCCTTTGGACAGCTCACCTTTTGACAGCCATCCAGAGAAGGCAAAGGCAGAAACAAAACTCTGACACCTGGATGTCCATGGAAAATACTTGTTGCACTTTGACTGGCGATACCTTCCATTCCAGGGCATTGGCCAGGTGAGGATGCCCAGTTCTGCACAGCTCAACCACCAACCACGCACCCCTTTTAACCTTACGAAGATCCATGCATTAATTAATTTAATGTACAAAGATCCATGCATTAATTAATTTAATGTACGAAGATCCATGCATTAATTAATTCAATGTACAAAGATCCATGCATTAATTAATTTAATGTACGAAGATCCATGCATTAATGTACATTAAGTTAATGTACGAAGATCCATGCATCGCTCTAGCCATCGTTTGCTTGTTTAATTTTATGAACTTGCAAAAAAAAAAAAGACTTTTGTTGCAGTTCGACAGGGTTTTGTTTTGTTTTTTTGAGCTGAGTAGTGGCATAAAAATACTTTAAATCCATAAATACCCCCAGTCAAACTTGTTTGTGAGAAAATGCTGCAGGAGTTGGAGTGTATTTCTTGTTTTGTCCCGTTTTTGCTTCACACTCGCAGGACTGTTTATATTCCCCGTCCTTGCCAAAACTGAGGAAGGAAACGTAAGTCCAGGTGCAGGGGCGTGTGGGTTGTGCTTCAGGCAAGTCAAACCACTCCTGAGATGGTGCTTTGGCGGGCGCACAGAATGGGCCTGCGCCTTGGGAGCAGAACGGTCTCTCTGCTCCAAGCATGCTTTCACCCTTCCCCTTCTACGCCATAAACTTGTGTCACGCCCATGATGGGCCCATTGGTCACGCTGCATGTGCACCGAATGGGTTGTGAGCGTCTGCGGCCCTGTGCACAAGAGCATGAATCATCCCCGGAACAAATTACTGGGGGAGGCAATCAGGGGACGGAATGGGCCAGCAAAGCGATCGGGTGGCCATCTCCCCGGGGGAATCCACCCGAGGTGTGGGAGAGCTACAGCCTGCCTCGACGAACCCAACAGCCATCAAACCAGGATGCCGTTCGAAAGAAAAGTAATACTGCACACGGGCGCAGCCGCGTTTCCCGGCCGAGTTCTCCAGGCTCGTGGTCCCTGGATCCTGAGGACGGCACACACCCAACGGGGCAGGGCGCCCTTGTCTACCGCCGTTCTAAAGCCATCCCAGTTGGTGGCCGTCCCATTTCGTGGTAGCGCCTTCCGTACTTGAACTCTGGACTGCGTGAGGAACTCTGCTCTTTCGTCTGTCTTGATTTCTTTCTGGGCTTCTTCCTGGGATGACCCCAGAGAGTTTGAGCATTTTGAGGGGTTTATGCCTGCTTCTCTATACTATTCATAATTTATTTATTTATTTTCCGGTTTATATCCTGCCTTTTTCCTACAAAGGGCACACGGCAGCTTACATCATTCTCCTCCTCCATCTTATCCCCACAACAACAACAACCCTGTGAGGTAGGCTGGGCTGAGAGTCTGTGACTGGCCCAAAGGCACCCAGGTGGCTCCATGGCCAAGCAGGGACACAAACCCGGATCGCCTGAGTCCCAGTCCCATGCTCTTAACCACGACACCACAGTGGCTCTCCAAAATAATATTTTGCCCCTTTCTGGGACTTTGCCTCCTGGCCCCTCTTTCTAAGCAGTGTTGCAAGCCTCCCTTGCAGAGTTTCTTTATCACAGAGACATCATCTTTCTGCACCGTTTGCAACTGGATATATTGGAAACATGTCCTGTTGTATTCTGAGGCTTTCTACCCTTGGTAAACATGTACTTTCCCATGAGTAAGGAAATAAGCTCTCTTGCTCTGAGAAAACAGGCACTGCAGGACTATTTGGTATGTTCTTGGTTGAACTGATGTGCTGAAATGAAGCAGTGCTTGAAAGTAAGTCCTGTTGATCTGAATAGGGGTTACTCCAGGGAAGTGGGCTTAAGACAGCAACCTAATAGCGATCCTAAACATTTCCATTCAAGGACAGCAACCTAATAGCGATCCTAAACATTTCCATTCAAGGACAGCAACCTAATAGCGATCCTATACATTTCCATTCCAGGACAGCAACCTAATAGCGATCCTAATAGCGACATACAGGGGTGTGAGGGGGTGTCACACGGAGGTGGGCAGAGACCTGTTCTCCCCTGCAGAGGAAGGCAGGATGCGCTCCAACGGAGCAAAGCTCAGGGAACCAAGGTTCCATTTGGATGCCAGGAAGCACTTCCTGACAGTCAGGAACCTGAGGGTGTGGAATGGGCTTCCCCGGGAGGTGGTTGAGGCCCCATTGGTGAGGGCATTCAAGGATAAGCTGGACATGCACATGGTGGGCATGTCGTGAGCAGAGCCGGCTGGTGCCGGAGGTCAGACTAGATGGCCCGGGAGACCCCTTCTGACTCACTCTGTTTTCTATGTTTCTATATATTTCCATTCAAGGAAATGTATAGGATTGTTGAAGGTTTGCGTGGCAAATTACTTATATCTGTTGAAATTTCCTCTTGTATTTACAATGTATGTCCCAGTACTGCAGTTTTAGGAAGAAGAGACTTGTACCTGAAAGGGGACTGGGGATTATGGTCTTGGAGATGGTCAGAAAAGCAAGTTCTGTTAGAGGTAAAGCTGCAGATGTTTTGCAAACAACTTTCTGGCTGGCTGTGGCATTCCAGCCACCTTAATTTTCCAGCATTCATTTGCAAATCTCCAACCTTCCTTCAGAAGCCCAACACAGATGCTGATTTCTAATGTTCTTGTGGAAAGGAAAATTAAGCATTCCACACCTTTGGAAGCTGTGAGCACTTGAAAACTCAATCATTGTTTCTTGTCTGGGGCAATCCTACCAGAAAGCAACTTGATAACCTCTTTCAAACACCCACCTTAAATACAGGGGTGGAGCATCAAACACCCCCTTTGCTGTAGGATCCTCTTTTTTTTATTACTACTTTTTGGAGTGGGGAGTTCATGTGTCCAAAAGATACTTTCCACTTTGCACAGGCCTGCAAAGCTTGTCAGGAACTCCTCTCCACAAGTCTCTTTTTCAAGGCAGCATTTACCATTTCTTTTAGCGCTGCAAACTATATTAATAATCACAATTCTATATTTATACTTTCCAATAACTGTGGACCCCTTTGGATGGTTTGCTGCAACACAATGAAGACAGCAGCAGCAGCAACATGAAAATAGGCATCGTAAGATTCGGAAGATGCATTTGGAAAGCGAATGTGGGACACACATTTCAATACCTTCAATAGCTAGCACAACTGAAAACCACAAAACCTGTTCAGCAGCTGGCAGAACCCCACCTCTCTGCATATGCTTGCAGGGGAATAAACCCCACTTGGCTATGGAAAAGGAAAAACATATTATTAAGGTGGGGTGAAGATGCCTGTCACACCACCCTGCCCCACCGACTGTAAAATGTTTCGTAAAAGAAGAAATAGGCCTGGTGAGTCCCGGCATGCTGCTGAGGCCGGCCAGCTGCTATTCTTGGTGTGTGTGGGGGGGGGGGATTTGCAGGGGACCTTGGGCTTGGGGACACTGGTCCAACCTGTCCAGCGTTAACTGGGGTCTCGCGAACAGGCTTAAGCAGCTCTGCAGGAAGAAATGCAGAATCATCCACGGCACAAGCGCAAGGAGAACGCACCCATGCAGGGCTTATCGGGGCGGGAGCAGCTGGCACAAGCTCTTCGTAAACAGGAAAAGTGCGCGGATGAAAATAGCGACAAGCAGGAAGCAGCGCTGTCCCTTCCCTCTGTGCGCAACCCCTCTGCCTCGCATGGGACTGGGAGCATGGCCCTCTTAAAAGTGCGTGAACCGCAGGGCGAGGTGCTCCTGTGTAGGCCAGCCAGGAGAGGGAGAATTTCCACAGATGCAGATTCTCCGTTCACGTGCTGATGAAGGTGTGAGCTCACCCCAAAAATCCTTCCACTCTGGTGCCAAGAGATCGCCTTAGCCAAGTCTTGGCCACAACTCCACCATCTGTAAAATGGGTATAATATTGACCTCCCTGAAAGGACTGTTGCAAGGATGACAAAGAGGAACTTAAGGTGTTATATCAACAGATTGTTATTGGGGTTTTGCCAGTTAAAGGCCTGTGGGTGCCTAGCTCAACTAGGAGGGACCCCATATCTTCCTATCTGACCCTTCCCCCTGGATTTTCACATTCTGAATCCCCCGGTCTTGATTCTGAAGCAGAAGCAGAGCTTTTAGCATCTCCTATCAGGCATGACCATCCTTCAATGTCCAGATTTTACTCAGCGCATTTGATGCAAGCAGTGACGACATCTTTCGGCGTCTCCGATTCATCCGCACCGCCTTCTCCCCACCCAATTCCTAATCGATGCACAGCACACAAAATCGCCATGAGAACATCTGCCTGCACGATTGCATCTGCATCGCTGGCCTTCCTGGGCGGGGTCTGGCCATGTGCAAGAGTGCCGTTTGCACAGCAAAGCATGACACAACACAGACCAGACAGACGTGCCAAACGGCTTTTTTTTTTGGCAGCGTTTTACCCATGCATGCGGGTAACAAGGGAGGGGTGCGTGCGAGAGGGAGCGCTGCGTAGGCACTGAAAGCTGCGGCACACCAAGGCCTGCCGAAGGCCGGGGCCATGTGCCGGCTCGCCAGCGTTCGGGGCACTCACCTTCCTGGAGCACCACGTCCTTCAGTTTCTCCAGGCACTCGGCGAAGTAGCCCACTTCGGCCAGCAGCTGGGGGATGTCCTCCGGCTCAATCAGACCTCCCTCGCTCCCCTCGCCGGGGCTGCTTGCGGCGTGGGGCTTGTGGCCCTTGGCGAGGCCTCGCGGGATCACCGGCGACAGGGGGAATCCCGCTGCGCTGGCGTGGCGGCTCAGGCTGGTGGGCCGCTTCAGCGTGCCCGTTGGGGCGGACGTGGACGCCTCTGCCAGCCCGGACAGGTACGACTCCTGGCCCTCTCGCCGGGGCAGCTCCTGCGAGACAAGCAGCTGTTTTCAAATTCAATTTAATGTAATTAAGACATTTCTATGCCGTCCTTCGCAGCAACTGGTCGCAACGGGGGCTACGGGGGTGTTGAATCCCAAGCCAGAAGGACACTCTTCATCCTCAGGAGGGGAAGCCTGGCAGAGCGTGGAAACAGGTGGCTCCATTCACGTGAAGCGACATGAAGTACGAAGCTGGTTGGCTGTAGAACATTTCGGGGTCCCAGCTCTGGCCTGGGCAGTGCTCTGAGGTCAGAGAAGGGACCCCGAATTCAGAGCATCGCCTCCCCCCACTGTGGCTGGCATGGTGCTTTCCATGGCCACCTGGGAGGGCAGGTGGGAAAGGCCTGCTGGGTAAAATGACTCCGGTAACTGCTTACAACATGGGTCCTCAAACTACGGCCTGGGGGCCGGATCCGGCCCGTACCACCTTTCCGGCCCATGCCCCGCACCAGCAGCTTTCAACTGCCCCCCCTGGTGGAAAAGTTTGAGGACCCCTGGCTTACAAGGTAGATTTTTTTTAAATTTATTTTTCGATTTATATCCTGCCTTTTTCCTACAAAGGGCTCAAATAAAGAATAAGCATAGAGACCCTCTTCTCCCACCCTGGATAAGACGCTGTCACCCCCCAGAGGGTTGGAGACATCCCACTGGCTTGTGGGGGGAAGGGAAGGGGAGCTTTCTGTGGGCGTAATAATTGATTCACTGGGGGTGGGGGGTCTTTCCCCACAGCCCTCCATAACCTGGAAGACCCCCTCGTAAGCCTTTCCCGCAGGCAGCTCCCAGGTTGAAAGATGCTCTGTGAAATTGGAATCCAGTAACATTTAACCTTTAAGCATTGTAAAAACAGGTAAAGAACTGGCAAGCGCTCCAGAAGGGTCTTCCATGAATAAAGATTGCAAAGTTTTTGCAAAAAGTAAAGGAAAGCCAAGCAGTTCAGCTCCCTGTAGCCTGTAACCTGGGGAAAGAATTGCTCAGGTAACTAGTGCTGGACAAGAATTCCAGGATTCTACCCTAAATGCCTTTTCCCTCTGTGTACCAGCAAGCCGCGAGAGATGAACAAGCTGCCGTGAAGGAAATTGTGCCGTTAAGACCATGATTGCTCAAGCTCATTGCAGTGCATGAAGAACAGACAGCGGCACTTCCGCAATTCTTGGGTGCCATCTTCGAGACCACAGCCCTGCCTCCCCCCCACCCCACAGGATTATGGGGTTGTGAAGGGCTGGGCACCCAACATTGCTGTGTCTCATGACCCACCGATCTCACTAGCATGGCTTCACATCAGGGCCGTCTGAACAGCGTGATGGGCCCCGGGCAAAGCAGTGTCCTGGGGCCCCTGCGACAACTACAACTGCTGTTAATTTCGGAAGGTTTTGTATTTATAAATTGGCAAATGCAGATGTTATCTCTCTGATCTCTGAGAGATTGATCTCTTGGCTCTTCGGAATATGGCTGAGCCTCACAGGTTACTCTGCAGAGACCTCTGACTGTGGAGCCCCAGTCGGTTGCCCTGAGGTTCCCCACTCCCGGGCTCGATGGCCCAGGGCCGTCTTAACAACATTATGGGCCCTGGGCAAAGCAGTGTCCCGGGGCCCCTACGACAACTACAACTGCTGTTAATTTTGGAAGATTTCCCATTTCCCAAGGGTTAACAGACACAGATTCGTATGGGGCCCACCGGCAAGTGCCCACCAGGCCCATGCAATAAGACGGCTCTGCTTCACGTGTCCATACAACCTCAAAGAAAAGCACACTGCCTAGAGCCTAAAGAGAACAATGTGGATGCCTGGCAAGCCTCTTTGTGGAGGGCATTCCATAAGCAGGGGCCACAACCGAGAAGAACATGCCTTGTGTAGTCACCCGGTTTACTTCCTTCAGTAGGCGAACCCAAAGGAGAACCTTCTGGATATGACCTCAAAATTCCAGATCTCCCTACAGGAGATGACCCTTTAGATCAGCTTCCCCCAAACCCACACCCTCCAGATGCCTGGACATCCCATGCTGGCCACTCACATTGCTTGTGTCCTTACATGCGATCATTTCCAACTTATGGTGGCCCCATGAATGAATTGCACCACAAAAAGTCCTATTATTTCTAAATTCCAGAAATAATGGAGACATCATATTTAGTCTTCCTTTTCTTCTTCTGCCTTTGACTTTCCCTAGCAAGATTGTCTTCTTCAGGATGTCCTACCTTCTCAAGATGTGTACAAGGTAGGACAGCCTCGGTTTTCTCATTTTTGTTTCCAAAGAAAACTCTGGCTTGATTTGATCTAGGGCCGACATGTTCATCTTGTTGGGTTAACGTATTCACAAAGTTCTCCTCCAGCATCACACTTTGAATGCATCCATTTCTTTTGTGTCTGTTTTCTCCACCGTCCCACCCACGCCAAGTAATGGGGAGTTCAGCCACAGGGAAGATCTTGGCCAGTGAAAATTTCTTGAGGCTCTTTTCTAGTTCCTTCCTTGCTAAATATGCAATTGATTTTCAAAAGTGTTCTTAACAGATCCATAATTACTTTTTAAAAGTTAAGTACATTCAAACCATTTAGAGGACCAAGCATTTGTCTGTCTTTTTGCCTAACAGACAAGGTAAGTTCTTTAATTATAAATCATCCCTCTTCTCTCTTTCACACGGCGGAAATTATTTCTGAGTAAACAAGAGAGGACCGCATGATTAAATCACTGAACCACGCTTGCTAACTGTGAAAATGCCTTCTTGCTTCAGGTTGCTGAAGTAAGAGCAAAATGGTGCTAAAATAAGACTTCTGAAGTAAGTAAAACAGGCTACGTAATGCAATTAATCATGAAAAGAGTAGTTGGCAACTGAGCTGGCATACATGGAACATAAAATCAGCAACAACATTTTCATTACAACTAGTTCCATACCTTACTGATCTCTCAATAATCACCTTATCATCTGCAATGATGATGATGATGATTTATATTCCACATTTTTTCTTCAATGAGCTCAAGGCAGCTCCCATGATTCTCCTCCTGCACATAATCTTATCCCCACACAACAACCCTGTGAGGTAGGCTAGTCTGAGAGTCTGTGACTGGCCCCAAGCCACCCAGTTGGCTCCATGGCCGAGCAGGGTCTAGGTCTGGTTAATTAATTTCTTCCATTAACTGAGATCTCATTCCAACAACTAGCAACAGGGACCTGACTGGGGAAGGATGACTGAGGGAAACCGTTCTGTAAAGCTAAGAAACACTCATATCCAGAAAGCGTGTTCTGTGAAAGTTGATCTTTCAAAAAAAAAAATCCAACTGTGATGCCTTTCTTCATTATCATTTTTGTCACCCGTTTCATTCCTATACTGCCCAATAGCCAAAATTCTCGTGGCAGTTTAAAAAAACCTTAAAAGGCATTATTATTATATATATATATATAACACACACACATATACTTTACAGAGAATAGAACCACCTGAAACACACTTCTGTAAGAAGATAACACACACACACACACACACACACACACACATCTGTTGTCTTCACAGCTGTTTCATTTTTGGCCTGAAACAATGTAAGCGTTTTAGCTGATTTGCAAGTTAGAATATAGCATATTTCTGTCAATGGCTCAGTGGTATATTTTTTAATGCTTAAAACCTCCTTGAGTCCCAATATTTAGGCAAAACCTAAATATGACACATTTCATTGACCTCATTTAAAACCTGCTTAAATGTATCAAACGTAGAGTTGAGGAAGGTGCTGAAAAGATGAGTGTTTTGGGAAAAGGTGGGCCGGGGGTGTGTGGAATACTTCCAGAATTGGAGGGGCCCCCACCAAGAAGGCGTTGATGCTGTCGCCTTCTGAGCTTTCCTTGGAGAAAGTGCAAGGGTGATAAATAGTTGGAAGAAGCTATTTTGTCCATGAGCCTGTAGCGCAAGTCAGAACTGATACCTTGGATTGGGCTCAGAAACTACTGGCAAGCTGGCTGGAATTAGGGTTATATTTTGGACTGCCTTGCCCCCATTATCAGCTGGAAGATGCCTAGTTCGGGACAGCAAGGTGACTTCCTCTGTTCCCTGAAAGGAAGAAGGCTCCAAAACAAACCCGTTTGAGCTGCTCCTGTTTCCCAGAGAGCAGAAATAGACTTTGGCTATCTTGTCATCAGGGTTGTTTTGGTCTCCTGCTTTTTTCTTGGCTGCCGACTCCCTCACCAAACTGAATGTGAGCCTGGCCTTTGCAACTTCTTTCAGTGCTGAGACAATAGGGGGGTTCCATAATGTTGGGAGAGTTCAGATAAATCCTGGCAGAAAAACGTTGTTTATGTGCCTTTGTGTTATGAAATGCCTGCACCCCTTTCTCAGGAAGCACCCCAATTCCAAGCCAGGTTACCGTTTGGCATGTGCTGTTACTTTAAGAAGAGGGACCTCATGGCTTCCCCAAGGCGCTGCCAGGGCTCTTGTTTTGCTAGTCAGTAAGAACTGGTCAGGTTAACAGCATCGCAGTCACCCTCATCCGCATGCCAAGGCCCAGCACAGCCCCTGTGCCTCAGTGGTCGGTGTGTTAATCTCCTGCAATCAAATGCCATTGTGTTGAGCCCTCCTGCAGGCCTCTCCCCTTCTTCTGACTCCCTTCACCCTATTTTGTCATCAAATGCCCAGCTGCTGGGCCCATGTGACTCAGAATCTATAAACACTCTGTGTATGCTCTGAAAGCTTATAGTTGGTGGCAGAGAGCACTACGGGGGTGCGTGCTGTCGTAAGTCGCTGCAGGGGGCCTGGGTGACCTCGCCAATACAAACGCTGGGGTTCAAGGTGATTCAGTCTTCCTGCGGATCCTGGTGATTCATCCTCGCCATTAGTAAGAGGCCCTGACAATAGCCTCTGGGCATAAACAGAACACCAAGCTGCCTTTATTCTGACCACTGGCCGTCCAATCTGGGGCTGCCCACTTTGACTGGCAATTGTTCCTTTTTAAAACCTCCCCAGCACTGCCCCCAAAGCCCCTGGTAACTGGGGGCCTCAGGTTTGCCTTCC